ACGCTCTGTTACTCAGCTATACATCAGTGAATGCATCTTGTATGACTTGTATATAATGTGTCTGTAATGCACTATAAGCCTGTTGCCTTCTCAATACCGAGTAGAGGTTGATCGAATCATCATCACCAGGGTTTCGAGAAAAGGTAAGCCTAGCTTGTTCCACCGGTAGCACCCGTCATAAACCAATGCAAGGGTTATTCGACTGTTTTCCTGAAAAAGAACCCTCAAGAACAACACTCCATCTGGAGCGCAATAGTGCAGTGGTAAGGCATCTGCCTATCACGCTGAAGGCTCGGGTTCGATCCCCGATGGAGGCACCTAGGTTCGCGTCCCGAGGTAGGCACATTTGCGTAGTATCTTTGCGCAAGATAGATAGATCCACATTGTCTCAGTTCACTCAGCTGTAAAATGGGTACCCGTGAGGATGTTCTGGCAATGTGAGTGAGTTCATTGCGCCTAACAGGCAGCATGGCTGTTGCTCCCCAGGGAAAAAGTATCGGATAGTATAATGGTGTCTTATGACCGGAGATAGTATTGTACGTAGCGCCGTGAGCAGGCAATGTGCCTGATATGAGCGCCATATAAGCTGACTATTATTATATTACTGTTATTATATGGTACAAGTCAAAATTTTAGGATTTTCATCGACATACTTTTGGCACTTTTTAGAAATATTTATAACATGTCAAGTATATGTATATAACTTTACAGTACTGTACTGAGGCCTGGGTTGTTATTTCCTCGATCAAACAATGCATGGTGCTTTTAAAATATAGGTGGTAAGAGATGGCTCGATTGTACCACAGGAGTTTAAGGAGTATCGTTTTAAACATATTTTATTTCAAGAGAAAGAAAAGGATTGGCAAACAAGCTCAGTGAGCTTATATAAATGCCTTCCCAAACATGTACATATTTACGGAAGCTATTTACAGAAAATCAATTGCCAATAAATTAATAGAATGTATTGGTACCACACGCTTGCTCGTTGAGTAAAATATGGTATTTAATTGTGAACTTTATTAGTAATTTCTTAAGTCATGTTAAATCTTTTGAAAACTGGATGAAATGGTGAACAGAGGAGATCAACTTTTTGTTAGTTTCAGAGTCTACATTAACATTACCATATAATACCGAATGTATGTCGTATCCATGTTGAGAAAAGTACATTGAAATGCGTAAGTCATTATACAACGGACAGGTGAAGAAGTAGTGAATATTATCTTCTCTTCGGGGACCGCAAGAGCAGGCCCGGTTTGAAGTGATGTGTCTAACGAACGTATGAGAATTTAAATCACTACACCCGAGCCTGAGGCGTGCATTGATTACTTGACATTGTCTATTACCAATATTGATATCAAAGAAGAACGAGGCACCTTTACGAGTAGATATTAAACGTTTGAAATCAGAGTGATTATTAACAGAGCTTGTTGATTGTGGCAGATCGTCCCATTGTCTGGTGTATTACATCTGGTGTAATGGATCTAGCATAGAGGGTACAGTTTAAGGAGTATTGCTTTCTGTGTCAAATTTGAAAACGTCATCTTCATGTCCACCATAACAGCTTTTGGTAGCTTGGCGGTGTTCTTGAGTGTTGCCTTCTACGAACTGACAGCAATGATTTAACAGGCGGTACCTGATATCAACCGGATGTCGTACCTCAGTCCGATCCTCTTGCTCTTGCAGCAGTACTGTTTAAAATACAGAGACTGGCACAAAAAATTAAAGTCATGGTGACTGTCCCGAATTTGTGTGTTTACTACAAACATGGATCTATATCATATTGCTGATCCTTGTCAACAGATGTTGACTGACAAGTTCGCTCGTATACATTCAGCATCATCGCTCATCTAGGTGATGCAATTATTACGACTGTTTGCCCTAATACATACTAACAATAATTGTATTGGGATACAATGACCCAAAATGTAACCCCAAAAGCGTTCATGAACATAAATATAGGAAAGTCTAAAGCCACATGTATACACCTTTTTGATATCCATTGTTGAAAAAACTAATGAGAAATACAAAAATAGTTTTACATAGTTCTTCTTATGTCAACTGATGGTTAGAAAACAGTACTACGGTACAGAAGCTCACCTTTATTCAGCAATGTTACATTTAAGGGACAAAGCTCACATAAATAGTGTGTACATAATGCCTAATAATTGATTCGAATAGTTTTAATGCTTATTTACCTGTTTACATATTTTGTTGTTTGTCATGACGATAAATATCTTTACAGGGCATATTCCATTGTCACATTTCCATGACATGATTACTGCAATTCCAAAAAATACCCAGGCACTAAGAACTGTTGCTTTTCTTGTTGATGGCGATACTGTTAGCCATCAGATCTCAATGAGGGTTACAAATGGACAACCCAATACCTACCCTGGTCGAAAGGTTAGTGAAATGGTCTAGATACATCACTGGATTATCTCAGGGTCCAGACTTGATTATTGCCGTCGCATTGATGGAAAATTGCGGATTTATTTTCATACGACAAACACCTACAACAACAGAAGAACAAATGTTAGCCTAGTGGTTAAACCGTTCTGTTATCACGCTGAGATCTAGTATTCTGTTATCTGAGGTGTCATAATCTGTTTTCAAAAATTGCAAAATATTCGCAGACCTTATCCTGATCACTATCCTCGGCAACCTGACTGGAGGAGGATACGGGAAGACAGGAATCCTGCCGTAGTGTCGACTCAAATGGATACGCGTTGACCTGACATGAAGGTGAACCCGTCTGGTAATACCCCCGTTCACTCTTGAGGCGGAATTTGCCGGAATGCCGTCGGAATGACAATTCCTGGAAATTGAACTGCATTCTAAAACTTCTTACTCCATTCCGAATGCTCTCCAACTATTCGTGTCAATTTGTAACATGCCCGAATGTTTTGAACATGTTCAAAACTTTCGAGGTACATTCGAAGTGGAAAATATCGAACAGCACTTGAAGTGCATTCTAACTGTATTCTAAGCATTCTGAACGGATTCGAGGGAGAATCGAAAAGGCAAGCACTTCAAATCCTTCAAGAATGTCCCGAATGCGCCTCGAATGTACTTCGATTGCTGGTTGAATTTAGGTGGAATATTCTTCAAACGTATCGGAATATTTCGATTGCACTTGGAATACAGCCCGAATGTACTTCGAATACACCTCGAATACAGTCAGAACGTCCCGAATGCTCTTCAAATGAGCCCTGACGTCATCAGAACACCGCCGAATCACATGAAAACGTAGCCGCCTGTCACTGAAACTTTAGAGATCATTCACATCTTCAAGCTGCGCAAGTTGTCTCCAGCCTCCTGGCGCCACGTTGCTCATCTTTCTCATCCACCATACCATTGTGGAGATTAGGATAACATGTCCTCATCAAGATGTGCAGGCAGACACAGCATTCAATGATGTCCTTCACAACGGAAGGCCTTGACAGCGTGGTGGTGAGGAGGATTTGCCAACTCTGGGCCATAATTCAAAAATGCATTTTCACTACCCGTCGGCCCTTATTGACCCTGTAAGTTGTAGATCTCTCTGAGAGTCCTATGACCATACGGATTCATCAAGAAGGCCTCTTATTCCAAACGCATCATCTCCCAGAATAAAGCACGGCATACGCTCGCCATCTTGGGTAAGGGGAACGGATCAGGAAATCATATGCTCCCGTCTTCAAGGCAATCCTTGAGCTCGCACTCGTTGAAGATCTGAGCATCAGACATACTTCCGTAAGCACCAACGTCCACCCACAGGAACTTGTTTCCTTCCACAAGAGCAATGAGGCCCACAGAGAAGAAGCCCCTTTGTAGCTGTGGTACAAATGAGCTGCTCTTGGCAGGTTTTACTAATGGCTACATGTTTTCCAAAGGAATATTTCACCTGTTTCTGAATACCTCTTCAATGGGTGCCCATTCTTCCGGAGTGGTAGGGCAGATGATAACCTTTATCCTTGTATTCCTCCACAATGACCTTACATACTTCTGGGATGATGAGGCTGATCACCTGAAGCCAGGAACCCCAGTGTCATGGCCAGCTTCAAGCCTGGAGGTAGCGCCTTTCTCATATATGTATCCTGCTTGTTTATTCTTGGTCCCACTTTCTGCAACAACTCATCAAACATGGCAGGCTCCACCCTAAGGTAGTTGAAGAATGACTGCGTGTCCTCAACTCTGAGCTCCTCCATCAGTCTTGTGTAATGTCCATACAGCCGCCTCCTTAATTTCCTCTGTCAGCCAGAATATTTTGACAATGCACAGTTTCTTTATGTGGCTAGTATAGATTGTTACTGAGCCCCAAAACAAATAGAGGCTGTTTTTCTTGGCGTATATTGCTTTAAATATTGTAGAGAACAAATCAGGGAACACGGGAAAACTTCAAGCTGTTCCTTTATTATTTTCCAGTTTTCGTCACCACAGCGCCATTCAAATCTGGTGATGAAAACTAAAATATTAAAGGAACACTTGAATTTTCCTGTGTTCCTTTATTTGTTTCTGTACGTATATTTTCAAGATGTATGAAACGTCATGGAGTGTATTGTTTCAAAGATCAAATACGCTTCAAATGAGCCTAAATATACCCAGAGGTGTGACTTAAAGTTTCAACTTGTCTGTTGTCCCTACATTATCCAAACAGCTCAGGAATTGGGTGTTCATATTTCACAAGTTTTGAGGTACTATCAAATATGTTCTTTCAAAGAAAATTTTCCATATCGTCATACGACGTGCTCAAAGGTTATCGATGGCGGGGAACACCATAAATGGGCTTTACACATTATACCCATGTGGGGAATCGAGCCCAGGTCTTCAGCCCGACGAGCGAACGCTTTAACCGCTAGGCTACCCCACCGCCCCTGTTCCATTAAGAAATGAAAATGTAGACGCTCATATATTTCATTGACACAAGTACAGAATTCCTGGTTTACTGTGTCTCACCATCACCATGGAATAGAAAACACGGGTGAGACAAAACCAGACTTCTATTTCTACCCATTTCACAGCGGATGATGAACAGACAACATGTCCATGTGGTGCCAGCTAAACAGACAACGGCAGACAAGGTTGCCGCAGCAGTGAAGGCGAGAGAACTCAAGGTACTGTCGAATATTATTATAGAACTACATGTAGCAGGATTCTACGGATTATATACCCCGAGTTTACAGTGTCCGTCTTTGGTGAGGGGTATAAAGCTCTATATTATATAGGTAGTATTTTCCTGTACCACGATTGGTCAAAATACCGTCACATGATTAACTACAAAACACGATATTGACTTGAGTTTTCTGATAAATTACGATATTGACTTGTTACTTAAAAATAGACGAGGAATCCCGTAAGAAGGGGCTTCCCGCGCTTCTTGCAGCCAATCAGATCACTTGGATAGATGGCAATATGTGTAGATTAGTTTATAAGTAAACCCGTTTTCTTTCATTATATAATAAAACAATTATAGACTCTTGTAGAGGTCGATATCGGTTTTATTGACCTGAGAAAAATTAATATCGACCTCGCAGCTCGCAAGCTCGGTCGATATTGTTTTACCTAGGTCAATAAAAACCGATATCGACCTCTACAAGAGTCTATAATTGTTTTATTATATAAATGAAAGAGAAACGGGTTTTAACATAAACTTTCTAATTATTCTGAGACCGCCTCCGTGGTGTAGTGAAGGTTGAGCGTCCGCCCGGAGAGCGGAAGGTCGCGGGTTCGATCCCCAACCGCGTCATACCAAAAGACGTTAAAATATGGTACTTTGTTGGTCCCTGCCTGGCGCTCGGCATTAGTGGGTACAATAAGGACTGGTCGGCTCGGGGTCAGTATAATGTGTCTGAGTGGGTATTCATGCTTCACTGCGGCATGGTATCTCAGTGGGCTAGCACTATAAAACCAGCTTCAGTCTGGGCTAGTACAAGCAGCCGCCCATACACATACACACGCATGCACGACGTCATATGAGCGAAATATTCTCAAGCACGACGTAAAACCCACTTTCACCTCACCTCACCTGTTATTCTGAGGATCTTGCTATTTTCCATTATCACCAAAGTACATTCCATCGTACAAATCTTGTCAGTTTTAATTAAAGGCACAATGCAATAAAAGACTTATTATCCCTTACGACATTCCTGAAATCGATAATTGAAACTGCGAGGCAAACAGCTTCCAAACAGAGAACACTCCTATAATGTAAATTGCTCCGCACCTCCGAACTGGTTTCAATCACAAGTTGTGCGTAGATATTCGTAAAGAGCGCCACAAGGACATAACTTCTATGGGGTTCGCTTGAAATAGTGTTCGGCCGGTAGAGGGCGCGAGAGTCGACTTAATGCAATGTTGCATTAATTCATTCGAACTTCTTTTCCCCGATTTAATATTGAAATCAAATACATAATCCATTTTGGAGACCGCCTCCGTGGTGTAGTGGTTAGAGCTGTCCGCCCAAGGTGCGGAAGGTCGTGGGTTCGATCCCTCGACCGCGTCATACCAAAAGACGTTAAAATATGGTACTTGTTGGTCCCTGCCTGGCGCTCGGCGGTAATGGTTAGCAGCCGCACATACACATACACACGCATGCACGACGTCATATGAGCGAAATATTCTCAAGCACGACGTTAAACCCAATTCCACCACCACCACCATAATCCTTTTGGAATAAATTATATGGTAGCTTCCCTGAAGGAAGAGAGAAAATGTATTATTTACGTTTAGAGAAGTGTGGTATGACATAAATGGCTGTAAGTGTTAGAGTGTTGGTGAGACACCCATTTGCCCACAAATGCAATATCAGCGCAAGTACAAAGGAACGGTATTTCTATGCACAGAATACCTTCTCAATGACTTGTTTGAGACCAGCTAGTTAATCCTTTAAATAATGTATACGTAAATAGGATAAGACCAAAAGACGAATACAAAAAACAATATTTGTGACCTAAATCAAATTTAGGTGGTCAAGAATAAGCACACGATCCATCAAAACGTATGTGTATTATTGTCGCGGGCACTAAAACCCGTGGACCCACTTCCTATCGTATCTCAGATTCAACATTCAGAGCAAAGTCAGGAAATAATTCAATGTCTGCTTGTTCTGTAACCTTTATGGCTGGCAGCTCATTTTTTGTTTTGTGGTACTCAAGCAAGACGCACGCCCATTAAAGTGAAATACATGCAAATATCCGACCGAACTGGCATACAAGAAAGTTATACCATACCTGCCTAGGTGTATCGGCCAATGCAGGAACAGTTGAAACAGTGAGGTGTTGGCCTACACACCTGAGGTATCGGCAAGACTCCACGTGTATTTATTTTACTGTACAGGATCGAGCATGGCCAAAGTTTTATATGAAACAAGAATCCTCCTCTGAGACGCCTGAAAACTACGTGCACATGCCCTTTGGTTGATCTACATGAACTGATATGTCGATATCTACGTTCCAGGGTGTTGACGATGCTTTCTATGTTATGGATGTCGGTGACGTCGCCAGCAACTACCAACGTTGGCAGAGATTATTACCACGGGTGGAACCTTTCTATGGTAAATTAAACGTTTTGTACGTTAACTACTTTTGGAGTGAGGAGTGAGTTTAGTTTTACGCCGCTTTTAGCAATATTCCAGCAATATCACGGCAGGGGACACCCAGAGACGGGCTGCATAAATTGTAAATCCATGTGGGGAATCGAAACCAGGTCTTCGGCGTGACGAGCGAAACGCTTTGACCACTAAGTTACCACACCGCCCCGACTACTTTGGAGGAAAGGACCCGGCTTCAGGATAGGTCAGTGTTGTGAGGCTGAGCATGGCAAACCATTATTCGCTAAGCGGTAATTATGTCATTACGTCTTTCTGGTTTCGCCAGCACTCCACGTCCGTGGATTTCACCGATGTGGTAAACGACTGAGACATGACTTCTTCAACTTTACCTGACATCATTTCTGACGTCAACTCTAGTACCTGACATCATTTGACGTTTAAAAACGGCGCCAGTCCAGTTGTTGGTCCCATTTTTAATTAAATTTGAATAAAAAGTACAAGAGGATTTGTGCCATACCTACAGCATATATAAGGTGGAGTATTTCTAAGAGAACTTTCAGTACATTTTGTGTTTTATTTAATAATATTTCTACAATTTGAAATGTGAATTTTTGTCCCGTTCAGCTGTCAAGTGCAACTCTGACCCATTACTGCTACGTGTTCTGTGAACTGGGGACAGGATTCGACTTATCAGCAAGCAAGGTACTCTCCTATAAACTCTATATGAACGAGTTGGATGTATAACAGTGAATATAACCCAAGAAAATAGGTAAATAAGCGTTTGCCATAAAAACCCTCCCTATATTCCACAAGAAAGAGTCCATTGTACGATTCCAACTGTCATGACCACGTGAATCACGGTGAAATAACTAGATACATTGTACACTGATCCATGGATGTCGGTGGATGATGTTACCGCTTTGAGCAGTTCGGCTCGCCAAATACAGGTACAAACGTTATCTCTATTAATGATATGATGGGTGGTGATACGAATGCCTGGTGTATTCTCCCATGTAGCCGGTAATAATAATGTAGTGCGTTTTAGAACATTTCGTCTCCAGCTAATTGGAACTACAGAAATTATATGGTGTTATCGTTTGATATCTCCCGATAAGCGTAATCTTAACAATACCATTTTTTGACAGTGTGAGATGGACATGGTAATACAAATGGGCGCCTCGCAGACAAGATTGTGTATGCCAACCCATGCAGGCAGATTCGATCCCATCTTGAGTATGCAGCCAAGAAGTCAATAGATCTCCTAACTTTTGATTGAATGAAGCTGAACTGTACAAAGTCAAGTCAGCGTATCCTGGTGCAAGGTACATTTACAAACAATTACATTATCGTGAGTGAGTGTTGGCGTTTGATTTAAGCCGCTTTTGACAGCATTCCAGTGATACCTCATTGTGTCAGCCTGATGTTGGAAAAAAGACTGATGCATTTCTATAGGTTTACTGCACTTTGCTGAGGAACACGAACATAGAATGGTGCAGACAAACCTTGAAACTTAACCAGCGCTACCTGTGCCCCTTTCTAAAGTACCGTGGGTGGTGGGCAGCCTAGTGGTTAAAGCATTCGCTCGTCACGCAGAAGGCCTGGGTTCGAGTCCCCACATGGGTACAATATGTGAGATTCCATTTCTGGTATCCTCCGCTGTGATATTGCTGAATATTGCTACAAGCGGCGTCAAACTCGCCTCACTTAAGGTACCCACATAGGCTGTACATGAGGCGAGAGGTTGTCTGGTTCCTATTTAACGCCGCACTCAGCAGTATTCCAGCTTTATGGTCGCTGTCTGTAAATAATCGAGTCTGACCAGACAATCCAGTGATCAACAGTACGAGCTTCGATCTTCGCAGCTGGGATACTGTGACATGTGTCAACCAATGAAACGAGAGGAATACGAAACCTAGAAAACATATCCAGGGCGACAAGTGCCCCCGTCTAAAGTACTTGATGGAAGCTATATGATGGTGCTAAACGTTCTAACAAACGTCATGCTTTTCAGAGTTTTAAATAAATTGAATAGATACCAAATGATCAACTAACAACATAATGTCACTTTAGATAAAGTAAACCCAATATGACTTGTACACACAAATACACGCGTGCGTGCTTCCATTCAATTACCCACAGTAGGCCTGAATGATCGAATACTGAGAAAACTATTACACATCGAGTACTGATAGATTAGTGATATGTTTGAAATCTAACATCTTTCTCAATGAAGCTCACATTTTGACAGCTTCACGTTCTTTTACTCACAATCTAAATGATAGGATTCAATCAGACAATCATAGGATATTTTAACCAGCAGTAACAGTGCCATAGTTTCCCCACAGTAATATATTCTTGTAGACAGTTTCCTGTATTCTGACTGAGGATGGTAAGCGCCATTGGCAAATGATGACGTTGTTTTGATTTGGCGTAGTCCATCCACTTCCAGACTCCTCCTCCGATTGTCCCCCAGGCAACTACGACGTCATAAAAATGACCTGTCCGAGAAGTTTGGCTGTCACCCTGGTGATGTGAGTGGGTTCCCTGAGAACAGCCAGGACTCTCGGTCTCATGGTCGAGCTTCAGGTGAGGACGTATTTGACAAGGCACTTTTGTCAACCAGCCTTTTCACATTGAAAATCCTTTAATGGTTCAGTTTATAGTTTTGTCAAGGGAGGTCAGTTTCGTTCAACTTGTGTCAATGATAAGACCGCAAACAGAAAAGACATGGACTTGCAACACCATAACATGATATTAACCATTTACATCTTGGTTCATTGTGCTAATGATATATACCTTTTTATGCTTATTATTTATTAACTGTTCACAGTTCTTTTGCTAGGTTTATCCTATATTTCATGCATGTTAACCTAGTATGTGAAATAAAACAAATATCATCACGTTGATCTGTGTGACTTGATACTTAGTCAACAAACAATTCATAAGAACATGCATAATGAACGACGGTGGGGATGTAATGTACTATACGGTTCTTTCCCTTAATGAGTGGAAGATGGAATAAAAGACGGTACAGACTCCTCATTCAGATACTTATATATCAAATTAGAATAAACATTATCTCACAGAATCTTGACTGCTTCAGACCCGTGAAGATCCGGGATAGAATAGCAACCCATGCTTGCCACAAAAGGCGACTGTGAAGCCATTTACTCGTAAGAGGCGACTAACGGGATTGGTGGTCAGGCTCGCTGACTTGGTTGACATTACGTCATCGGTTCCCAAATGCGCAGATCGATGCTCATGCTGTTGATCACTGGATTGTCTGGTCCAGACTCGATTATTTACAGACCGCCGCCATGTAGCTGGGAATATTGCTGAGTGCGGCGTAAAACTAAACTCACTCACACACTCACTGGATTGCTTGGACATGTTTTTGACTATCTCCCGTTATACCGCAGTTTCCACGTGGGCAGCGGAGCAAAGGACCCGGAAGCAGTTTGTGGCCTCGGCTACAGAGATCACACAATGTGTTTGCTATTGCAGAGAAATTAGGATTCACGGCAATATTATTGACATTGGCGGAGGTTTCTATGGTCACAAAGGAGCACCCCTATCGTTTGAAAAGGGCATAACATCCGTAATTTTAGGCACGGTGGCCAGTCGGATCAGGCAATAGAGTTGCGTCCCTCTTGTCTTAACCGAGTCGTGGGCAAAGGCTGCATTCCTGATATTGCAGGGGACGTAGCTACCATTACACGCGATTGTTGCTAAAAAGGTTGGGCAAGTCCTCAACACTATGTAAATAAAAGCTTTGCAACCTATCGTGGGCGTACACGAAAATTGGCTTGCTACGCGCCCGTATTGAAACAATTCACGTCGTTGCTGGTTGGTTTGAAAGCGGTAAAATGTCAAGGACCTGCATCATCAAAGCGGACTTTTGGCTGACACCAGTTTAATTCATGAAAACTGAAAATATTATGATGTCAAAGTCGGTCATGATCAGTCGCCGCCATCATGTAGTCGTGATACAGGGGAGATAACAGCTTAAGGCAAAATCAAATTCCCCTTTATAACCGTTTCCTTTGTAAATCAGTTTAACAGTGAAATTTAGGATTAATTAATTTCTGCAAATTGATGTTTGGCGAAACAAAACAAATAAAAGCGTATGTAAGTATCCACCCAACATAGCGGAACACTGTGAAGATAATCGTTTGAAAAAGCGTATTGCAGTATATCGATAATACCGGAAAGTCCAGAAATTAACTGGTATCTGTATCTTGGCATTATGGGCACTACCCCTGAAACCTTGACAACAGTTTCTGAACGTAGCGCATAGTGAGTGAGTGAGTTTGGTTTCCTTTTACGCCGCTTTTTTAGCAATATTCCAGCAATATCACGGCGGGGACAATTCAGAAATACCGCACACATTGTACCCATGTGGGGATCTGGAACCTGGGTCTTCGGCGTACGAGCCAACGCTTTAACCACTAGATTACACTCCCCACCGCCCTGAACGTAGCATAACCTTAGCATACTGGTCTGGTCGTTAATGTTGATGCTACCAGTTGCTGTTTATATGCTCCGAGTGAGCTACAGGGTCAGCGGCGCGTTTGTTTCTCAGGCTGCTGCCACCTTGAACAAGTCTCTTGACAAGTACTTCCCATTAGCTCCAATGTCAAGGTCATAGCAGAACCAGGGCGGTACTTTGCATCGTCGGCGTTCACCTTAGCGACCAGTGTGATCGGAAAAGGAAATGCCTTGGTAAAACAAAAAAGATCGCAAGAACTCAGGTACAGGTATGTGTTTTCAAATGATTGTCTGTTTTTGGGGCAAGTAAATCTAGAAACACATCGTCATACGTACATTTCATTCTTTTTCATGATTCAGTACTTTTCGAGTTTCAATAGGAACGACTTTGACTTGAGTGAATTCATATTGACCATAGTTATCGATGACTGCCTGAGACTGAATGCTTTTTGATTGAACATCACTTGATCACTTGTAGTTATCGATGACTCCTCTTGCCTGAGACTGAATGTTTCGTGATTGAACATCACTTGGATCACTTGTAGTTATCCCGAGTAACAAGATATGTGGGCTTGAACCGCTTTTCTGGTGATAACATCCAGTTTTATCATCTTCCAGGACTGACCTGTTACACAAGTGCAAACCGGACCTTGAAACGTATTTGTAACACTCTATGTGAATCTCAAGACTTTAAGGTTGTGATAAAATATTGTACGGACGCTTGTATCAATGGCAAAATAAATACAATAATACCATTTTATCTGCTCTCGTGAAATGGGGTATAACAAAAGTCGGTGTATCGATCAACAGCCTGTCAGTTTTAGTGGTGCAAGCTTCCTCGACCGGGCCTCCATTACCAAAACCTGTAAGCATGTTGACCGAGGCATCTCCAAACTGTGGGTATAACTCCAGACAAACACGAACTTGGATGTGTCGATCTGACGGTTGTCTAGAAGCACAGCTGAGTCACTGCCCCTTCCTTATTATAGCTAAAACACATGGCATTATCATGAAACGGCCCTCCTAATATCGTAGACATTTGCGGGCCGCTGCAAAATGATATTGGACCGCTCAACCTTAAATGACGGGCCACTATCAGTTCTTGTTTGTCAAGGATCATAGTGGGTGGGTGCGTCGGTTCATTCTAGACTTTGCTTTGACTGGCAGATACCTTTGGGTAAACCATCACAAGCAACCTGAATTTCCGTGGTTCCGAATAGCGGTAATATTACTTCTTTGCTGGTACTAACCTAACAATTGCACTATTAACGTTGTTGTTGGACCAAAACCGAACGTTAACAACTAACGCCAGCAGCGTACCTGCCATTAGGCATTTTAGGCACGTGCCCACTTACACTTAATATTTCAGCAGCAATTCGCCATTATGCCCGTGTCATCAGCATCAAGCGGGAGATCCTTCAGTGCAATGAGGATGATCAAGACGTACCTTCGGTCCGAAATGGGTGATGTCCGTATGCCATCACTTGCACTTCTCCGTGTCCATAGCGACATGCCAGTAAACACACCGTGTCACTGAGCATTTTGCTGCTCGGAAGACGAGGCGCATGGATTCCATCTAAGACTGTACATAACGTGCTGGACAGAAATATTAATAATTCAGAATACAGATTTTCTTTCTTATTGATTCACGTAATTGTCATTTGTCCAGACTCATGTTTATATATAAAGTGCACCAGGAGCTAGCATTCTAGCATTCAATATGCATTTACAACACTGCATGCAAACAATTGGCTTCAGCCGATAAAGTCTAGCACTAGTCTGCTACAGATTTTCATATGCATATCAATTGTATGTACTTGACTTCTGTAACCCACAACACACACACACACACACACACACACACTCACAGACAGACACACAGACACACACACAGACAGACAGACAGACACACACAGACACACACACACACACACACACAGACACACACACAGACAGACAGACACTGAAGCTCAAATTGGAAAACCTTGATTGTTTCCTTTTTTTCAACACAAATTCCACGTATTTTAGTGTTATTATCGGTATCAAAGATGGAGGGTATTGATCATTTGCAGAAGCCCTTGGTTTTATCAACTGCCCTCCCTTCGTTGGGCAGTTAGGCACGGAAGACCTCGGCTTCTGCAAATGATAATGCCCTCAAAAATAGCATTACCTCTTTATAACAGGCCATGGTCTCTGTCAAGAGCCAAGGTCGAATTTCGTCACGTTCTGTTGTGACGTCACTTGAATTGTCTGATGACGTCATTGCATCTGGTCAGTCAACCCCTGTCAGAAGTTGGTTTTTAGTAAACTTAGTCAAATTCCTTCATTGTTTCTTTTTCTTTCATCACAAATTCCATGTATTTTAGCAATAATAACGGTTATGCCTATTTTTAGGGCATTATCATTTGCAGAAGCCCTCGGTCTTTTTCAACTGCCCTCCTTCGTCGGGGAGTTCATGGAACATCTCGGCTTCTGCAACTTATAGTGCCCTAAAAAAGTAGCATTATTACCCTTATATTAATGACCCTGAAGGTCCGGGTTAGAATGAGCCTTCACTCCTCTTCCTTATTAGTGACCTCGTGAAGGTCCGAGTTAGAATACCGAGCTTCAGTAACCCATGCTTGTCGTAAGAGGCGACTCAACGGGATCGGGGGTCAGGTTTCGCTGCTGGTCATTTTGCTGGCTTGCTGGCTTGATTGACACATGTCGTTGGTTCCCAACTGCGCAGATCGATGCCTGGCGCTGTCGATCACTGGATTGTCTGGTCCAGGCTCACTATTTACAGACCGCTACCATAGAGCTGGAATACGCTGAGTGCGGCGTAAAACTTAAACTCACCTACTCACTTCTTATCAAGTAGTAATTTTCAGTTGTGTCGAACAATTAAATATAGTCCGTTCAACTTCTACACAACGGTTTTGTAGAGAACTATATACGTTTGAAATATTGTTCTCTTATTCATGGTTGTTTTACATTGTATTATTATAGAGAACAAATGTAGAGTCGGAGATGTCCAGCGACAACAAACCAGCGTTCATGTACTACATCACAGACGGTGTTTCTTTGATCATTCAACGTCATCATCTTCGAAGGCATGCATTATACCTAAACTAGTAAAGGTAGATATCATACCTATATTCCACTCCCATTCATCTTGTTTATTTGTTTGTTTAGTTATTTGTTGTTAAACAGCTCATTTAGCAAAATTCCAGCGCTTTGTGAATAACTGAGTCTGGGGTTATTGCATCGATCTACCAAACTTCTAATACGAGTCAGGTGAGCATGACACACCCAATCGCGTAAGCCGTCTCATACGACAAGAGTGGAGGTTGCTATGATCAATTCTAACCAGAAATTTTAATTTATCCATTCCGAAGATCTTGTATGCACAGTGAAACCCGATCTATAAATATATAGTGATTCCAAGTGTGACGTTACTGATAAGCAATTAATTCTCCCTCAATGACAAGCGGGACGCAACTCGCGATGTAACTCGCTGAAAGATGAGATCCATGCCTGCGACTTCGCTCCTTATTCAACAAAGGAAGTAACGAAACATGGTGTCAGAAGCGTTAACCATTCTGATAATGAAATCACTGTATTTTGATACTCGCCAGACACTGATTGTTTAATCTAATGTATGCACGAGTGCACAAGTTCCATGCATGGCGTGTTCGAACTGAAATCAAATCGGAGCACGTGGTATAACTACCCCTCCGTGATCAGCGCAAGCATAGTAACGAGCAGGAAAAATGCGACAAAAACTTTATTCTGTAGACTCGATCCTACTATCAAAAAAGCCGAAATACATTGTTTCTAGCCGCCAGTAGCTCTGCCTCGTTGGTATGGAATTATCTCCTTGGGTTCAGGGATGGCTTGATCACGCGGATCTCGTTGCTGGCAGACGATACCGAAGCTTCTGCCTATGACGTTATAAAACAACCGGAAATCGACTCTTGGCATGTGCTATGAAGCAGGTATTACATCCGGTAGCTAGACTTGTGAAACTGACGGACTGCATCGGGCCTCTGTTTACCGAAATTTGAAGAAATTTTGACGCAGGGTTAGGGGACAGAGTGACAGGCTGGATCGATATACCGCTACTCTTGGGGTAAACGATAGATGACGTATCGCGCGTCTCGCGGCGGCGTACTTAAACTGGTCTGCAAACAGCTTTGCTTTGAAGGCGCCGGGCAGTCAAGGAACCCTAAGGTATCAGGAATGGACAATCTGTGAATATCTTTAAAGCAATCTGGATATGTCGAAGCGAGTGCCGAAGAAAAGTTCCATTGATGAATGTTCAGCACATATGGAGAAAAGGCTCGAGTGGTGCAGGGAAATGCAGGGTACAGCGACTTTGAAATGTGGTTTTAAACACGCATCAAAGCTTCAGCCTTCGAGCAGGATCACAAGAAAGAGGTAATCAAGAGGGGTGGACGTATCTGCAAAATGGTTCCGAAGTTCCTCACCTGAGTGTCATGCCTTGGGGTGGTATGGGCAAACTCTGGGTAACAATCTACTGCTAACTATTACAAGAAGGATGGATTCACGCAAGCACCGTAAACTTATAAGGCAAGAAGGCATAGTGAATCTTCATATAGGGCAGAGGGAATACCTTTCAAACTTTACAGAACAATGCACCTGTACACAAGTCAAGACACCTGTAACAAGCTCTTGAAACGAGTCACGTGACCTTACATAAATTCCCCAGCGGCATCACCAGACCTGAAACCGAACCTGAAAATATGTGGCAGATTATGAAGGACAAATTAGAAAAAGTTGGAACCGAAGGAGTGTCGTTGAGTGGTCTAATCCTCATCAGTCAAATATGGGTGGACCTACCCCAGGACTAATACATATAGACAATCGGATTTACGCGCATGGGACGCCGTATTCAGCAGCATCGAGAGGAAACGGCAGTGACCTACCGCATTCATTGATCGGTGCATAAATGTAAACTTCGTAGTATCCAGAGTGGATGTATGAACAATATAGCTGAATTCTATCAGTAAATAAATTTTGAAACTATTGCCCGTGAAAAGTCGCCTTTTTTCTGCTCGTTACTGTATCTTACCGCTGCATACGTTCAACTCTGTCAAATGACGTGATATCGACACTGAATCACTAATGTCAGACCAATGAAGATCAACAAGCACCTGTTACCCCACAGATTCTGCATACATGCCTGTAAATATTCCCTTGCCCCAAAACTAGATTTGAAAGGAACTTGTGCCACTAACTTTTAAAGAAGTTCAAAGAAGCTGGCACAATTATCTTATATAGCAGCTAGACTGTCAAATAATCCAAAGAATTCAAGTGTGCCACTTTGAAGACATGTATTGGGTCACATGTTCTTGATTTTCATAGAAGGGTTTGTGGGTTTGCCAAATGAAAAAGATACAAGGAAGATGATGAAAAGGTGTTGAATGAGTCCAGAAAAATTCTGTGCATAGGCGAAACAAATGACATTTCGAAAGGTATTAAGAGCTTCAATAAAAGTGGATCAGGAATCCTTAGGAGAACATTGATTACACATACCACTGTGCAATTCTACACTGGTCATTGTAGAACTTTACAATTATGGGCATAAAGAAGACAGCTTAATCTGTGATAGAATAGTTATGGGGATTCAGAGATCAGAATTAATTAGAAAGAGATTCTTGGTACAGGTGAATCTAAGCTCACTTTGCAAAACGTGTCTCCATATGAAGGGCAATGAGCACATGCAACCACAACAACTGAAATCTATCAGTATACTGCAGAATCAGAAGAAGGAAAGCTTCATTAGGAAGTAGAAGGAATCATCTACGAAAACAGAATCGAAACAGCCTTTCTATGATAGGAAAGGGTCCAATAGCAGGAATAAAAAGAGACAGATATCAGGATAGAAATTTGTGGGAATGCAAGTTCTGGCGACAGAAACATATATTTGAGGGATAGGTGCTCAGCATTTGGTCATGCGCGCAAGAACTGCAAAGGAAAGAACCACTTTGAAAGAAAGTGTTCGATGACAGAAAGTACAAAGAAGAAACACAGTACAGGGATAAGGTCCATGCTGTTCAGGGCTATGGAGATACTTGGACGACTCTGGAGGTCGAGGAGCTATATTCTGGATCTATGGACAGCAGAGAACAGATTACAAGTGTTGGAAGAAGAGAAATACAAGAAAAAGTTGTTTGCTTGAATTGAAAGTTAATGATGAAGATGTGATGTTTCAGCTGGACTGTGGAGCAACAGTTAATCTCTCTACCTAAAGGCAGTATACACTGAGGTCTTGTATTGATCCACAGCTGAAAAATGTTGGATGAAACTGCAACAACTTTGCTCATACAATGACACAGCAGAGACTGTGCCCATAGGTAAGAGATTTGGTCAAAATTACAAACCCCAAACATGGGGAGGCAGGATAGTGTTGAAATGTTGATTGCAAAAGGTGACCGAAGACCACTTCTTGGATCAAGAGTTGTTCAACACATGCAGCTGATCACCCGGAACTAGGACGTAACATCATGGTCCATCAATCCAGCCTTGTGAAACAAACACCCTCACTGGTCTAGGAATCGTCCAGAATTGCATAGCCACAGGATATAACTACGGAATACAAAGATTTGTTGGAGGGCGACGAAGAAAATTGATGGGGAACTTCATTGGAACTTGATGAATTTCAGTAACCCCAGTTCAATCTATCACCTTTGCAGAAAAAAGTTTCTGTAGCCATGAAACCCAAAACTTCAAAAGATGAACTAGAAAGTTTTGAAAATGGAAATGATTACGGACAAAACTTTCAGCAAGATTCCAACATGAGTCAGTCTGACAAATGAAATGAGAACCCTGAAGCATTTATCACCAAAGCTGCCCCATAAGACGATGACTTCTGCCACATGCTGCTAGAGATTATTTCACTTTCCGTGAAGAACTATTCTGTTCAGAACGATGTAGATCTTCTTCAAAGGTAAAGGGTGGTCATTCCCAGAAGTATGCGGGCTGAAATCACAGAACGAATACACTCCAGCCACATTGGAATTCAAGGATCTATCTCAAGAGCATGTGAACTTGTGTATTGGCCAAACATGACAGGAGATTTAACTGATCATATAACAAAAAACGTGAAATCTGTTCAACAAGATCAGGGAGAGAACCACTTAAGCTATGATTTTACCGGGTCCCGAGGATGGGATATGATTGCAAGTGATCTTCGAGTTCAATGAGCATGATTATCTTATTGTACCGTGGACAATCCTCCGACTATTTCTGAGGTAGACCGCTTGAGGGTAAGAACGCAACAGAGGCTATTGAGAAACCCAAGGTTAATTGTTATGGCATACCAAGCCAAATAATTACAGATAATGGCCCCTTTTAACTCGGATGCGTTCGACAGATTTGCCTCCAGTTGCTGGATTTCGCGCATGAAACCCTTCCTCCTGTGATACCCTCAATCAAATGGCAGCGTTGAGGAGTGCGGTAAAGACTGTTAAAAAGACTCATGACAAAAAATCAAAACTTGCCTCAATCAGACTATACCTTGCATTGCTGGATTCAGAGATGATGTACCAACAGTGAAGGCATCGGTACATCACCAGTACAAAGCGATATTCAACAGGAGGAACGAAAACTCGCCTACCAACAGCCAGGAGAGTTTGCTCCAGACCGAGTACAGTTGATAACATCACTGACAAGCTTCGCTGCCAGTCAGACAAAACAGGCCAAGTACTACAATAGGTCAGCTCATTCATTGCCCTTTGCTGAGAGAAGGCGATGTCGTACGGATCAAACCAACAGAAACCTACGTTGGCAAAGTTAGTAGGAATGAACAGGTTGGTGAAAGATCTTAGCAAGTGAAAACGCCTGATGGAAGTTTGAGGAGAAACAGACAAACACTTGGGAGAGTCGAGAGAACCTGCAAACCTGGAGCCAGCCGAAGATGAGTCCCCAGTTGACCTTTTTACTATGAGACACACTGAACCACAGGTGGCAGGATCATCTCAAGCAAAAGGAGAACAGGAGAGACGAGGCGTAGCTCAGGTACGACGCTGTCGAGTGGAGGTGAAGACCGACCAGTAGTAGAGAGTGTAGAGGACAGAGTGCTGCAAGAACCTCAAGTGGAAGACAAGTTACAGTTCCATCAAGATTCAAAGACTTTGTTCAGTTTTACTTGAAGTTGAAACTTAAGTTGTGTATTCTTCATATTTCCCGAAAGATCTCTAAGTGGGTCATATTTCAGTTACCCAAAGCTGTTTAACAAAGAAAGTAACGAACATCATCAAGGTACTGTAATGGCTCCCCAAGCCAGTTATCTAGGCATGGCGGACATTGTACATGAATAAAGGCAGGTTATTATTTAGAGAGGAAAGAGGGAAGTTGTAGAATACGACCACTGAACGTGTGTTTATCATCGCATATGTTCATGTTGGTACTTTCTTTACAGTCGTTAACTCATTTTGATAGTAATGCCGACTTGCTGCTTCTGCCACGGAGGCGAAGTCTGAAACAAAAATAGGGTCAATCACCACCCAGACAACTACCCCACCCAGACAACTACCCCCACCCAGACGACCTCACCCCACCCCAGACGACCACTCCCCACCCAGACAACCACCCCACCCAGACAAATACTTCCACCCAGACAACCACTCCCCACCCAGACAACCACCCCACCCTAGACAACTACCTTCACCCGTGACAACCACCCCACCCAGACAACCACCCCACTCCAGACACCACCCCACCCAGACAACTACCCCACCAGACAATTCACCCTGGCACCCAGACAACCACCCCACCCAGACAGCTACCCGTAGCTGCGTTCAGAGAAATACTCCAGTTGCTGACTGAGATACATATGAAAATGAATATAAACACCAACTGCGTCCCAGAGTTATTCCCCACCCCCTAAACGTGGACTCCCCTAAGCATCAAATGATCGGTCCCTTTATAACAAATCGAAATGATTCGGTTGCAGGTGCCCTTCTAAAGTGACGTGACCTTCAATTCCTACGCTGTGGGTCCGACATGTGACAGCCTTGACTGTGTTAGGGAAGGAGTTGTCTCTCCCTGAACTGCATATCGGGGACTGGCTGGTACATGGAGGAACATGGCGCCTACACCAGTATATAATAGCATCACGTTTTAACGGAATGCCAATACCTAGATGTCATTATATATATCCGAGGAGGAGAAGGCCTGGTAAGACTTCATTGGTTCAATGTTTAAACCATATTTACGACTTACTGCAGTTGTCGCTGTAACGGCTCCTCACCGTCGTGATAGAAGGATATTACTGTTACATGATAGCTTTATGTTAGGATGTGAGCGGTTACATAGAACCATCTGAAAAGTTGCTGTAAACGGTTATATAGAAGCCATGTTGGGGATGTGACGGTTACATAGGAACTATCTGTAAAGGTTGTAACGGTTATATAGAAGCTTTACGCTAGGGGATGTGACGCAGTTAAGATATAACTATTTGTAAAGGTTGTAACGGTTATTACAGTTTTATGTTATGACGGTTACGATAGGAACTATCTGTAAAGGTTGTAACGGTTATATAGAAGCTTTATGTTAGGGATGTGACGGTTACATAGGAACTATTTGTAAAGGTTGTAACGGTTATATAGAAGCTTTATGTTAGTGATGTGACGGTTACATAGGAACTATTTGTAAAGGTTATATGCTATATAGAAGCTTTACGTTAGGGATTTGACGGTTACATAGGAACTATTTGTACAGTTAGGTGTAACGGTTATATAGAAGCTTTATGTTAGTGATGTGTGACGGTTACATAGGAACTATCTGTAAAGTTGCTATATGGGCTATATAGAAGCTTTACGTTAGGGATTTGACGGTTACATAGGAACTATCTGCAAAAGGTTGTAACGGTTATGCTTTTATGTTAGGATGACGGTTACATAGAACCATCTGTAAAGGTTGTAACGGTTATAGAAGCTTTACGTTAGGATGTGACGGTTACATAGGAACTATTTGTAGCTAAGTTATAGCGGTTATATAGAAGCTTTACGTTAGGAATGTAATAGAAATGTTTCCTACTAAGCCTGTCCTTGTTGTTTTAGCCCGTCGGAACAACTGTAATTCAATCAACAATTAAAGTTGTTGAATTCATAAATTCTGTAACCGACATCTTCCTATTATCTAATGTGTGTTTCATATGCATTTTGTTGTTTTCAGAATTCCATTTTACAGAAGACAGACTACATATCAGTGGAAACAATTCTTAAAGTAGTTGTGAGCACCTCGTCCTGACAATATATTCCAGATGAATATCTAGTTAATTGATGTAAGACATACAAAGGTTTGTACTGGTGGACCGGGTAACTATAGTAGTATTTATAGTGACTTGATTGTATACGAGCATGTGCGGCTTGTATTACTCATACTGTGGAGGACGGTGGGTAACCTAGGTAGTTTATAGCGTTCGCTCGTCACACCGAGCCCTGTCTGATTCCCTCACATGGGTACAATCTGTGAAGCCCATTTCTGGCGTCCCCGCCATGATATAGCTGGAATATTACTAAAGCGGCGTAAACTAAACTCACTCACTCACTTTAGCGTCCCCGCCGTGATATTGCTGGAATATTGCTAAAAAGCAGCGTAAAACATACTCTCACTCCTCCTAGTGCGGACATGGCGATCACACTATAAACATGCAATCTTCTACCATGAATATGATGTGGCCATGACACACCTCTCCACAAACCCTGTTAGTATATAGCAGGTTATGGAAACCCTCGACTAACCTTGCCTATGTATAAGTACGGATATATTTTGCATTCTGCCCGACTTGGAAGTCTTTCAAACCACCTTGATGTCAACGTATCTTGTTATGACGCATGATCTTGTTACGGAGATTGTCTTCCTCTGCCGCTACATGTTACTGCATTGGGAAATATATGTATATTCATATTCCGCAACAATTTGGATTGCTTTATTTATCACGCAACTCGGAGAGGGACAAGAACGCCCATGTCTTATTGGTAACTATACTGTCCCTCTGTCAACGTCATGCACAACAACAAAGCAACACACCCATGCTACACCCACTCACCCCCTTCTTAAACACACCCCTACCCCTCCCCTTCCGCAATAAACATACCCAACACCTTAAACACAACCTCCACCCCACAATAATCGCCCCCGCCCCCATTCCGCACAACAAACACACCCAACACCTTAAACACACCCCTCCACCCCCCACCCTACAATAAAACACACTCTACACCTACTCAACACCTTAAACACACACAATACACACCTACACACAAGAAACACACACAAACTCTCTGTCTCTCCTTTGAAGAGGAAACTTCTTAAAGACGATGGGTACAACGTGAAGCACATACTTCTGGTATCCCCGCGTTGATACTCGCTAGAGATATTGCTAAAAGCGGCGTAAACTCACTCACTCTTAAAAAAGAATGATTGTTTTGACTCCATTTTGAAGAGAAAGAGGACAATCGAACTGTGTGTTTCTATTTGGACCTCACACCTAGCTAGCACACCTTGACAAAACTGAAATAATGTTCAAAGTGACGTCAACAGCAATAAAGACTCACACAGATCATCAGTTCGAGAAACTACTGCATTACTTACCTTCAGTGAACGCTTGTCGCTGATCCGGCTACAGGAAACCGAAACAAAGAGAAATTTCCAAGTAAAGTTTCCAGACATTCCGACCTACCACACTGCAGTTGGGTAGAAACTGTGTGCCTGCATGGCCGAATGATAGATGCATCCTAAGATGCATACATTGTATACTATCGCTTCGTGCCTTTAACTAAATTGCCCTTGATAATGCAAGTTATTTCTTAACTTCTTTAAGAGGCATTTAGAAGTTGAGCCGTAAGGAAGGATAACAATATATGGATGAACTGAAATAAAGCAGTTGTTCATCATATATTGTTATCCTTCCTTGGGTTATTTCCCTTACCATCCACGGGGTTATTAAATAATTTCAAATAAAAACTTTTAATCATGACAAAATATAAATGTAAATAATATTTGGCACAAATAGAAAAAGGAAAGGAACAATTTATAAAACGGAAGTATCCGAAGATTTCCGAGTGTTACGAAGTCTTTTCGAATGCATGTCAAAATACCGGTTTTCAATCAGCGTATCGCAATACGTTTCGTTTTCATGTCTGAACCGGTATATACCTGTAAACCGGTTATATTGCGCAGCCCTAGTCTTTACTATCCTCTCGAACAAATTCCTTTCCGAGTTCCCTTACTGCTGTCGTACCCCGTCTCCATGCACAATCGTCTTAGCATCTTATCGTTAACGCTATGACGTGTTTGGCGGGATCCTGCTATCGACATTAGATAGTAATAATTCATAAACACATCCTGCAGGTATATGATGAATATGGGAAAGGTTTTGTCACTTTCGTTTAGAATATATATAAAATAAAAACCCATAATGATCCATAGCGCTTTATTTAAAAAATAGTAGAAAGCTTAAACAAGCTGAAACAAACAGAAATCAGTAAACTTTGTTTCAATCGACAGGCTTTAACATGCCGAAATCGGCTCTCGATTATGCAAGACAGATGTTGAACTGGAACGCGTACCTGCGAAACCATCACGATTAACACGAACAAACACAAATAGTGATAAGGTTAATATAAACATTCAAAGCTATAAGTAACATGTATGAAAATAATATCGGCGATAGCTAGACATCAATATGTACAAATTTTATTGAAAGTTGCAGAGTAATCTATTTCTTTTATCATGTCAAATTCACCTGGGAAGTAACTACGTTTGTAACGAACTCGAGGGACCACCAATAATTCGTTATAATCATTTCAACGGAAATATATGGCACGTGGACGCGACCGAAACAGTTATAAACGCAGTTTACTGTACAATCAAACATATCTACATTTTACAGTGAACTAGCAGCTTACACACTCTGCAAATACTGATTCATATCTCAAACGAAATGTACCCGAACGATGCTCTACTCATTACTGCAAACCACGCAGTGTAAACAAGATATGAACTTGAGGACGTGGCAGAACTAAAGAGTGACTTGTCTGTGTCTTGTGTTCTGTCTCTTGTCCCTACATTTTCCACTACACTAAATTAGAATCACATGCTCCCTCAGCGAGTACCGTTTGTAAACACCTGAAGAGATGGAGACGTGTGACAGCTGTGATTGGATGAAATAGTGCTTTGAGAGACATTTTAGAAGTTGTGAAGATGAAGGAAAACTAAGTTCTATGGATAGTCAACTACTTTATTGCAACGAGTGCGACGTTTCGGTCTAGGTTCTAATACCGTTATCAAGCAAGTGATCACTTGCTTGATAGCGGTGTTAGTACCTACACCGAAACATCACTTGCTTGATAACTAGCAGGATAAGTTAGCCGGAATTTGTGTTTTTATTGTAGTATAAAGGCCAGACTGTACCCGTGTGTACATGGGACGGCTGTTAACAGCCTGGGTGATTTAAAAATATATAACGTTTCTATAGAAGTCTATTTGAAAACATTTGGTGTTGTGAAGCCTACAGAGGTGAGACCCAGCTCACCCTTCGTGCCTCCTCGTCCATCGTCACTTCCGGAAGTGTCCCCTCCGCGGTACTGTCTGTGTGACTTGTCAGCAAGGGTATCGTTTCACAGACCACGTCACAGACATCGGGGAGAGAGGCCGTATCTCCATCTCCATGTTGCAGCTGACGTGTCCAGTGACGGGGAACATTTTCATACAGCACCTCTTCCTCATCACTGTCGGGGAACAGAAAGCAACATTCACCTTAACATCGAAACTGTAGTATTTTGAATTAATTTGTTCAAGAACATCTTTGATGAAGATCTCATATAAAGAAAATATGTTCAGCTGGTAAAATATCCTCTCCTCATTGGGGATTCCGAGAGATAAAATGTCCCAAGTACTGGTGGTCGTTGTGTGTCACTCCCCTTCCCCCCTACCCCCCACACTCACCTGTGCTTCTCAACCCGGCACCAGCATGCCTCACACTGAATATGCACTGGCTCCTTGAAGGTGTGTTCCGATTGTACGGCGTCCTTGAGAATGCTGTGTATGAATATATATTGTTCCTGGAATGCAACAGCTGTAACTTAATATCAAAGTTAGCAAGGAGCTGGGAACGTTTTGTACTTCGGGAATGTAAATGCTCATAATAATCCTGACCCAATATCATCAATGTCTGTATTATATAATGAGACTGGAACACGAGGTCAACATGCCATCATGTCATGAAATACAGCAATTTCGCAAAAGTTCATGTCTACACTGGAACATTTCCCGCTCATTGTTTTTGAACTGATAAAATAAAGTTATTGATTTTATAACATTTCAGCCTTTTGGGGAGAAAACCATTAATGTTGAATTTCAGCACACCCGGTTCATCAGACTGAACATAAGTACATAATGCCTGTTGAAAGAGGTCAAATGTAACATATGAAACGTTATATTTGGGATTACACTTTCTCCCTACATATTCGAGAACTCTTTGGCGCGGTGGGGTAGCCTAGTGGTTAAATCGTCCACTCGTTACGCTGAAGACCCTGGTTCGATTTCCCACATGAGTACAATGTGTGAAGTCCATTTCTGGTGTTCCCCGCCGTGATATTGCTTGAATATTGCTAAAAGCGGCGTAAAACCATACTCACTCACTCCAGAACTTTTTGGTTTGAGTCCCATCCGTGATTCGAACCCACACTCTCAGGGCACCTTTCGCCATAGATGTAACCTACTCAGCCACGGCGGCTGCCACAAACAAAGAAGAGTTCACAGACATCCCCGCCGCAAGCAGCGTCAGAAGAGCAGGCTATTTCATCAGTTTGTTTGACATTCAGTAACTAACCTTTGTCTGAACCATTTTCATCCTCTTCATACGGAAGTGCTGCACACAGTTGTAGACACAGACTCGACCCTCGTTCCGGGCCTGATCCAGGAGGTAGTCCAATGCTAGGAATGTCCCAGTCCGTCCAACGCCAGCACTGTGTAGGACAATCAATGATATTCTCAGTAAAGAACCTGCATATTTGTTAACTCTGTGGGGGCATTCGAAACCTACACCTAAACATTATCCATCATATATTGAGACCCGTGAAGATCCAGGTTAAAATCTATGTTCAGCAACCCATGCTTGTCGTTAGAGGCGACTAACGGGATCGGGTGGTCAGACTCGCTGACTTGGTTGACACATGCCATCGTTTCCAAATTGCGTAGAACAATGCTCATGCTGTTGATCACTGGATTGTCTGGTCCAGACTCGATTAGTTACATGTACAGACCGCCGCCATGTAGCTGGAATATTGCTGAGTGCGGCGTTAAACAACAACCAAACCCAAACAAAGGAGACCATCCACATTGATAAACGCAAATACCACGTGCATTTCATTCGGAAAAGGAGGCAATCCCAATATTAATTTTCAGGAACCTGAAGGAGCCATTGCAATTTTGACACCAGGTTCTAAATGAACGAGAAATTGTTTGAACACATCTCACCTGCAGTGAACCACTAAAGGCCCTGACACTGGCGGTCCCGACTCTTTCACTACTTTGTAGAAGTGTAACAACGCAGCAGTGTCCTCGGGAACCCCGTGGTCGGGCCACTGGGTGAAGTGGAACTGCTGGATCAGTGTTGTCTCTGTACCTTCCTGCAATCACAGACCCGTGAAGATCCGGGTTAGAATGAACCTTCAGTAACCCATGCTTGTCGTAAGAGGCGACTACAGGGATCGGGTGGTGAGGCTCGCTGGCTTGGTTGACACATGTCATCGTATCCCAGTCGATGCTCATGCTGATGATCACTGAATTGTCTGGGCCAGGCCCAATTATTTACAGACCGTCGCCATATAAGTGGAATATTGCTGCGGCCAGGGAGTGGAGAGTGGTGGCCACCTACCGTACAGACGGCCAGGGAGCGGAGGGTGTTCGCCACCTACCGTACAGATGGCCAGGGAGCGGTAGGTGTACGTCACCTACCTTAGAGACGGCCAGGGAGCGGAGGGTGTACGTCACCTACCGTACAGACGGCCAGGGAGCGGAGGGTGTACGTCACCTACCGTACATACGGTCAGGGAGCGGAGGGTGAACGTCACCTACCGTACAGACGGCCAGGGAGCGGAGGGTGTACGTCACCTACCTTAGAGACGGCCAGGGAGCGGTAAGTGTTGGCCACCTACCTTACAGACGGCCAGGGAGCGGAGGGTGTTGGCCACCTACCGTACAGACGGCCAGGGAGCGGAGGGTGTACGTCACCTACCTTACAGACGGCCAGGGAGCGGAGAGTGTACGTCACCTACCGTACAGACGGCCAGGGAGCGGAGGGTGTACGTCACCTACCTTAGAGACGGCCAGGGAGCGGTAAGTGTTGGCCACCTACCTTACAGACGGCCAGGGAGCGGAGGGCGTTGGCCACCTACCTTAGAGACGGCCAGGGAGCGGAGGGTGTACGTCACCTACCTTACAGACGGCCAGGGAGCAGAGGGTGTACGTTACCTACCTTACAGACGGCCAGGGAGCGGAGGGTGTACGTCACCTACCTTAGAGACGGCCAGGGAGCGGAGAGTGTACGTCACCTACCATACAGACGGCCAGGGAGCGGAGGGTGTACGTCACCTACCTTAGAGACGGCCAGGGGGTGGAGAGTGTACGTCACCTACTATACAGACGGCCAGGGAGCGGAGGGTGTACGTCACCTACCTTAGAGACGGCCAGGGAGCGGAGAGTGTGGCTATCGTGGACCTCTTCGTCCACGAACTGAACACTTATACAGCCGTACATCGTGGACTCGGACGTACAGTCTGGCCAGTACCTGTGGCACTTCACCTGGGAAAATGATCATCGTTGAATCTTCACTACATTAATGCAGGATAGTAGAACTTTTATTTACGAATGAATATCTAATGTGATGCTATAAACGGCGTGTAATGAAATCTGTATCTAAAGTACAAAATACATTTTACATGAATTTGTGAATAGGCTACCAAAAAAGTGTACATAATGCATTCTAACCCGTCCCATCTCCATGAGGTTTGTAAGCATGACAATCTTGTTGGTGTTCAGCTGCCATATCATTCTCCAGAAGTCGTTCTTGGTTTCTTCCAAAGGCCCTGTTGAAAAGTGTCAAAGCCACTCTTTTGTAAACAAACTTCAAGACACTATATTATGAATGTCATCGAATTCCTACTTCTTACTACTGGGTTGTGAGAATGATGAACTAATCAGTCTATCAAGTTATGATTGTTGACGTATTAATACCACTTGACATCAATGTGTACTTTGCTTTTTTGAGTTTACACGTTTATAAGTGAAAATATTTCCTTGTTTCGAAGAGTTCCTTGTAAGATTACAAATGTTGTGCTGGGACATTTCTGAATGACGGATAGAGTATGCCTATTGACAGTGTTACTTATGTGGAGATGGGGAAAAATGTGTTATTCCAAACCAGTGAACGCCTCCTCGTACCTTGAGCTGCAACATACCGGGCTGTGTCCATGTAACCCTGTAGGGAGATAGAGTCTCCATGATAAACTGAGTAACAGTACAGTAGGAAGTGAGGGGCATGTACCAGTTGCGTGGATATGTGCGCTATATATACTGGGACTCTCTATTATCGCGGCACGCGAAAACATCGGGAAAGCAGACACACCATGCCCCGCATCGACTGTTTACATAAAATATATTCATCGCTCTTGAAAAAGTCATTTGTTTCATTGGAATGTCATGTCTAATCGTAGAAATATTAAAGCATTCATCTTTACTGCCATTACATCTAGCATGAATCAAAACTTACTTGGTCAAAGGTAATCCTGCGACAACTATAAAGTCATTTGCATAGTTTCCGTGCTAAAAATATAACAGGAAGTGACGTATTATGCAACTTCCCTCTACACAGGCAGCAGCTTGTATGGTACGTTTAAAGGCGGAAAAACATTATTTTGTAATGTTATTGTTACCTTGCATCCAAATGAATAGAAGTTTCAGATGTTTGGGTTACAAACATGATGATATTACTAATGTGAATGAAATTCCTAAATATTTTTTAATGATCAAACTATTTAGAATCGTTACTTGTCTTAGTAAATGTTTCACAGTGCCATCTGCTTGTACCGCGTGCAACAGTAAGAAAATAGCAATACCGCGATAATAGAGAGTTGCTTCAATTTCCGGGTCAAACGAGACAATCGGAATTGCCGCAATGGTATTAAACGAGTTGCGACTATGTGTCACATTATTTATGAAAGAAACGAAGATTATACATCAGTCAACTGAAAATATATATAAAATGCTAAATGTCAGTAGCCGTTCATAATCCCGATGGCGACAACATTAACTACCGCGATAATAGAGGGTCCCATGATAAATATCCTATAATAAACAGGGACATTGCTATGAAGACTATATCTGTCACCTCGCAGCATGTCACTGTGAACGGATACTGATGTAGACAATCTACATGTACATCTTGGGGAAATCATGTGCTCGGTGTGATGCCTTTAATAAACCAAGTAGCCTTACAAGGCGAGTCTGGGTTCAGATCGACCGTCAGCTGATGGCGGCATTAACACGTATACTGTGACTGGACATCCTTACCAATTAAGACTACATACTGAAAACAAACGGAATATTAAGGGAACGGAACTGGATAAAATATTTAATTGCATTAAGCATACGTAAAACAGCCCACAGACTGACACACAATCAAACTCGATATTCTAACTAAATACAAAGATCACATTAAAAAGAAGAAGCTTGATTACGTACGTCTACGTAGGAGGCGTTGATGTAGTCGCTGTCATCTTCCTGTTCTACCTCCAGGGGCACTCGAGTGGTATCAACTGTAAATACATGGTACAACATCACATGTCTGTTTTTGTGGCACGGGACCCTCACTAAGAGTAACAATGTTATATTTGGAATTACACTTTTACAGTAGAGTACAGATTGTAGTACTTTTGTTGGGTTGAGTCCAGTAGGGGATTCGAACCCAAACTCTGAGAATCAGGCACCTAATCGCCGGCACACAAAGTCAGCCGTCTAACCCACGGAGCCACCGGACTCAAAGTAGAAGTTCCTCGTAACAAATGTTAATTTGAGTAAATATAATTTCCTTAATTACTAAAATGAACAATACAAGAGGGTATATAATTACATACATGGCAGGATATCTTTGTACCGGTTCTTCCCTTTGTTCTCGTCCAAGGAGGCAGAGTTCACTGGCTGTATGTGTGGAGATGGCAGTTTCTAAAACAGACTAGCCTGCATGTGAGTGATGTTATTTTACGCCTCAGACAGTTATATTCCAGCCATAGCGTAGCGAACCTGCTTGAATATGGTCTGAGCAAATCATTTGGTTCCATGACAGGCAAACAGCACTACCTTGCTATATACGTCAGCGAGATTATTTTGTATGTTGGGAATTAGAATCACAAGTGTGTAAACATTACAGCTGGACCCAGGACGTTCACCTCCGTGCTTTTAGCAGCGTTAACCACCCATTCATCGATATGGCCATGCATTACATCATTGTGTCGTGCGGTTGATGCATTCACTGTTTTCTTTGTTTGTTTGTTATTTAACGCCGCACTCAGCAATATCCCAGCTATATGGCGGCAACCTGTAAATTATCGAGTCTGGACCAGACAATCTAGTGATCAACAGCATGAGCATCGATCTACGCATTTTGGATATGATGACATGTGTCAACCAAGTCAGCGAACCTGACCACCCGATCCCTCTAGTCGCCTCTTGAGACAAGCATGGGCTACTGAAGACCAATTCTAAGCCGGGTCTTCACGGGTATATGATGTATTCAGAACCTAAAGGTACACCTACTTGGAACTCCCCCAGCATACACTCCATCCACGTGTCCCCGCTGAGCTCACCACACAGGTCTCCGCCAAGCTGATTGACTGGAAGATGAACGTACGGTAATTATGATGTACTGACTGCACACAGGTCGCATGTATTGTTTGTAGGAATGATCATACCGTATGTTCAGCCCTTATATGTTTGAGCCTGAATTAACCTCACATAAACATATTTGGGAGGTGGGGGGTGGGTGTGGGGTGTGGTGTCGGTTGGTTCAGGTGAAAGTCAAAACAATCCCATACACTCTGATATGGTCTGGATTAATTGTTTCGTTGTTCTGTTACCTGAACAGGTGTACGTTGAGGGTGATGTTCCTGGTGTTCCTGTCTGTCTTCCTCTCAGTCGTCTTTGTTTGAAAAGAAAACAACCTGAATGTCACTTTAAAACGTTGGATAGAGATATTAAATATACCAGACAATGTAAGATTTCGTATGTTCAAGGTGTGATTAGTTAAAGGTCATTCTGCCTGTGTACGTGACGTCAAAATGAATATTGCTAAATATAATTAACAGCTCACCTTTTGTACGCGATGAAAACGAGTAGGAAGATGGCGACAAAGACAACACATGTGATTCCAAAGTAAGCCCGAGTCTCTGTCCAGAAGAAACGTTCATTACATAGATGAAGCACACTCTCAAACAAAGCATGTCTACAGACATGTGTATCACCCTCTCGCCAGATGCTGTCATCAAAACACACAACCCTTTTAGCAGCGTTTTCAGTTGCAAACAATATATTATGTTGTATAGATAAACATAGTATGAAAGAAGAACAAGTGATAACCTGACATGTATTCATATATCTCTGCACGTCAATGTCGGTGAATTACAGCTTGTTCAGCTTGACCTGAACTACTCTACATATGCATGACCCGGGAGGTCAAATGGCACAAACGGCTGGTCGAGATAACTTCATTAAGTAGGGGAGCAGAGAATGTTATTAATGTTGCACTCGTGCGAAGCATACATACATGGATTCGTTACAGCCCGAATCGGAAGCAGTAAACCTTCTGTACCTTCTTTTTAAAGAAAGTTAGGACATTGCTGACGATTTTTCGACACAGATGTCAAACGGCGACCTTGTCTCGGCTGTTCGGACATTTTGACAATCAACTGACAAAGGTGCACCCCTTCACAATAACAGACCGAACCCGTTGTGACATCGTCACGCAATGCATTAGTATTGCTGAAGGGGTCGTTGTCGGCACAGGTACTACAGATACGTACCCCAGGTACGTTTCTGTATACAGATATGTACCCTAAACAAAGTCAAAATACAGAAACGTACCCGGTACCCTAAAAGGCGGACGAGTCCATATTCCGCAATCCAAAACTGAAACCGCATGTACTTGTTCCCTTTCAACTGATTGCACGTGGTATTCATATGCATCGCGAAATATCCGTTACTGTGTATTCTCATTACTTACATAACGCAATCAAATGTATCTAATACAACAGCATGACAGTTCCGATCAAGAATACGACACAATGGGAATGGAATCGTCCTAGGGTACGTTTCTGTATTCTCATTATGGCCAGGGTACATATCTGTATACAGAAACGTTACCTGGGGTACATATCTATAGTACTCGTGCCAACAACAACCCCTTCATCATTAGTATTCACTTGATCAGGTCAAGCTGAACAAGCTGAACAAGCTGTAGTAGGAAACAATTGTGGTCTTTTGCACAAGTCAAACCTATAAATAATCTGGTGTTTTTCAAATAGCCCCTTGTACCCGACAGACATCAAAACAGAAATCTTTACACCCACCCATTACTGTTACTACACATTCCGGTACTCACAGTAACTCCCTATAAACCTCATCCAACCGTCACAGGAACAAACTCCCTGTAAACCGCTGACAATAACCACAATGGGCCCCCTCCCTTCCCCTCGCTAGCACCTGTCACGGTAACCCACCCCAATGTCAACCAGCTGCTGCCGTCACCTATACGTCAGGTATCTATATCACAAAACCAGCTCAAGTCGATGGAACAGAAAACAAAGGCTATGTTTTGTGAGATGTAGATAAAATACACTACCCAGTTAGTACCAACACTGACACGCTATAACTGATAATTCACATTAGCCATTCCAGCTTACCATCTTGAATACGTCTTCCACCACACTTGTCCCCTGTGTACCCCGGCTTACAGCTGCCACACTCCCCTGTGATCCTATCACATCCACCTCTACAGTTGGGGGGGCAGGTAACATCACACTTGTCCCCTGTGTAACCCGGCTCACAGCTGTCACACTCCCCTGTGATCCTATTACATCCACCTTTACAGTTGTCGGGACAGGTAACATCACACTTGTCCCCTGTGTACCCCGGCTCACAGCTGTCACACTCCCCTGTGGTCCTATTACATCCACCTGTACAGTTGTAGGGACAGGTAACATCACACTTGTCCCCTGTGTACCCCGGCTCACAGCTGCCACACTCCCCTGTGATCCTATTACATCCATCTGTACAGTTGGAGGGACAAGGTGTTCTACAGTGTTGACCGTAATACTGGGGATTCTGACACGGTCCTGTACAACCAGCACCATAACGTTCACACTGTGTACAGGCTGTAGGACAGTTCACAGCACAGTTATCTCCCTTCTTGCCGGCCACACATCCCTCTGTACACACAACACGGGTGTTGTTCACCTGACAGTGAGAGTTGAGACAGGTGTCTGGACAGTTATGTTCACACTGTTTACCATAGAACCGGGACTCCAGACACTGGAGACACTCGCCAGATGACGTCACATTGACACAACGAGGTGGACACACACCGTCAACACAGGTCACGTTGTTACCGTCACAGTTGGTGCAAGGTACAGATGTAGAAGATGCCGTGACATGAACTGTAACACACATACAGTATGAAATATGAAATGCAAGGCATATTTCTAAACTCAGCATAACACACAAAGGAATCACAGTCGTTCTTTGGGTTATCTATAAGTTGTATTAGCTGATATTTAACATAGTCTTAACGTTAATATGAACTGAATGTTAACCTGTGTATGAAGACCACACTGCAAAAAGATACTTTGTCAAATGTGTACTGCCTACATTATATGTAGAACTGTACTAAAGTCATGTTACCTTATAAATGCAGAAATAAGGATTGACCTGGATGTTACAGTGAACGGAATGTGCACTTGTGTATCAGATACTAACAGTACACTATATTGAACGTAAAACGGCGTTAATAGAATCTTACCAGACATTGGGGTAATTGTAATTTGTAATTGTAATTGAATGTAATTAATTACAAAAATCTATGTAATTACATGTAATTTGTAATTGAATGTTTAAAATGTAATTTGTAATTGTAATTTAGTTAATTAATATCTCAATGTAATTGAATTTTTCAATTACTTTTTCAATTACATCAAATTACATCTCACTTGTTTATTTTGGTGGTCATCAGGCAACCCTTGCAATTATATTCTGTACAATAAGGAGGACAAAGCAGTGTTTTTCAATAAGATGCTTGTTGTCGGTATATACTCTAGCAGGTGTTAAGTTTTGAAAGCGATTTGAATGTCTAAGCCTTTGTAACTATCACCATCTGCACATTTGTGAAACAAAGGGAATCAGTAACGCATGACTGAATGTAGGTTGGTATTTTTGAGGAAATGGGGGATTAACAGTACTATTAGTCAAGTTCTATCAAAATGACCTCTTTGTTTTATTTCTCATAGGATAGGATATTCAAAATCTTACTGAACTGTAGTCCTATTTGTATAATCATGAAAGGTAATAAGCCATAAATCCAAGTTGACAAATCCTTTAGTATGTTAATGTGGATTATGTCAGATAGAGACCGGCTGATTATATATTGTAATGTAGGCCTGTAATGATGTCATGATACAGTACACCTAAGGTAACAGTGGTGGACAAAGTGTTTTTTTGCAACAAGAGATGATAGAGGTGTGTATTTGATAATAAGCCCAAAGAAATATGCAAAATACAAATTTGATCAAATAGTGTACATTGTAGATATAATCTAATTTTGCATTTCACTTTTTGATGACAAAAATATGAATTGGATTTAGTGTTTACCAACATCGATATCTTGTTGATTAAAGGAATAGCGAAATATATTTGTTTTGGTTTTTTTAACAAAGTAATTTGTAATGTAATTAATTACATTGGTAATGTAATTGTAATTTAATTAATTACATTTTAATTTAAGGTGTAATTGTATTTGTAATTGTAATTGAGGAAAATCAAAGTAATTGTAATTTAATTAATTACATTTCAAAGTAATTGAACCCATGTCTGAATCTTACCATTTTGGATCCATTGACACCACAGGATGACTGCTACCGACAAGACCTGTGACCCCATGGACACCGCCTGGAGGGACACCTGGTGTTTTTGTCTAGAATTGTCGCCAGTGGCTTGGCAGGACTGGCTCTGCGGCACAAGCGTCAAGGTGCCTGCAAGACAGCTCTTTGACACAGGGTAGCTGCAAGACAGAGTCCTTTGATACAGGGTAGCTGCAAGACAGAGTCCTTTGACACAGGGTACCTGCAAGACAGAGTCCTTCGATATAGGGTACCTGCAAGACACAGATCTTTGATACAGGGTACCTGCAAGACAGATTTCTTTGATACAGGGTACCTGCAAGACACAGTGCTTTGACATTTAGTTACCCCAAACGTACAAAGTTCCTCCTGCTGAGGGGTGTGCACATTTCATTAACTCCCGTTTCAGGAGAGTTTCAATGGTCATTTAATAAACTTACAGGCCAAAAGGGGAGTGCACCCCCTCTGGATCCGCCTGTGAAAACCAATATTTAATTTTGTCATTCGTTTTTGCCTGGAAAAGAGGAAATCATCATGCCACGACTGAGTGCCGCCAATCGAAACATCGCCATAGGCCGCATTGAAGCTGGGGGGTCGCATTTTGCAGTTGCCTGACATTTAGACGTTCATCAGAGCACCATATCTCTCCTTTGGGATCGTTTCCTTCAGACCAATTCCGCCCAAGATCGCCTGAGAAGCAACCGTCCAAGAGTCTGCACAACGCATCTCTGGTTTGAGAAGAATATCCTACCAAACTGTCAGGAATTGATTGCGTGAAGTAGAGATTCGATCAAGAAGGCCAGTTGTCGCCCTTGTTTTGGGAGACTTCCATCGGCGCAATCGCCTGCGGTGGTGTCGTGGAGTCCTGAACTTAGAAATTGGAGGCGAGTCTGGTTCAATGATTAATCACGATTTCTTCTTCATCGGCGTGTTTACCGTCGGAGAAATGAACGTTTTGCCCCTAATTGCATTCGACAGGTCGACAGATTCGGTGGAGACAGTGCCATGGTGTGGGGTGCGATATCCAGTATACAAAGATCTGATTTAGTGGTAGTTAAGGGGAATTTGACAGCAAATCGGTACATCAACGAAATCTTTGCACGTCACATGCTGCCGATTATGGACCGACTGTGGGAGTTCAAGCATGACAACGCTACTTCACATACAGCACGCGTCACGGTCCGCTACCTTGGCAATTCTAACTTCAAAGTCTTGCCATGGCCTTCCTGATCACCAGATCTAAACCCAATAGAATAGATCAACGTGCACGTCAACGCCAAAACACGCCTCAGACACTTCCACAACTGGCCATAGCATTGCAGGAAGAGTGTGGAAGAATTCCGCAAGAGCGAGTTCGTCGATAGATCCAGTCTGTACCGAGACGGTGCCGAGCAGTAATTGCTGCCAATGATGGCCATACAAAGTACTGACTTTGACGCCATCTTGTAGACTCAAGTAAACAGAAACACAACGATAAGGCTACTGTGTTGGCGAACTCTTTGTCTGTAGACGTGTGAATTTTTACCTTTTTACCACTGAAATTACATGAACTAATTGCTCTTGAACTAAAGCAAAATTTCTTCTAAAAATGGGGGGCGGTGGGGTAGCCTAGTGGTTAAAGCGTTGGCTCGTCACGTCGAAGACCCGGGTTCGATTCCCCACATGGGCACAATGTGTTCAGCCCATTTCTGGTGTCCCCCGCCGTGATATTGCTGGAATATTGCTAAAAGCGGCGTAAAACTAAACTCAGTCAGTCAGTCAGTCTAAAAATGGCTTATGCGTTTCCTTTTTTGAAGAGTGTATGTATCAAACTTGCGTTCATTGTGAAATGATTATTATCCTAATGTAGACATCAGCCTTCGGTGTTGCCGCAGGAAGAATAGCTACAGCCCTGAAAACAGCTTGACTGATGTAATGTGTACGTTCGTTTACGAGTAACGATCGTTAGCTTTCGGCAGAACACCGTAAATATATAGATACATGAAAATGTATTATGACGTACATGGAATTAATAAGGTACAACTGTGCTTCAGCTACATTCTCATAATACCACAGATGACATTTTTTAATTAATTGAAGTATTCTTTAAGGAACACTCACTCTCCTGGAGGAAATGTGTAGTCGTAGTCATAGTCACTGACTTGCACCAACTTGGCAGTATATGTTTAGACGTTCAAGAGTCTCTCTATATATAAACTCAATGTATTATTCAGAAATATCCTATACGTGTGTTTATGAATCACTATGACATTGTGACAATAATACCATGACATAAATATATATTTATCCACAACACTCACTCATTCACTCAATCTAAAACACTACAGAAACATAGACTACGAATAACTCACCACTGCTTCGTCAGCCACATCAACAGTGTTTTAACTTCCGTGCTTCTTTCCCCGAATAAAGCTCATGTTTGTCTAAACCACAAATTGCATCTGTTAGAATTCTTCCTCTCCTGCTTTTGATAGGCATTATTATGCGGAAATAGTGCCGATGCAAAGGCTAAACGAACAGAAGTTAGCTTTTCAACGAAATTTCACAGCTTTTGAAGGTTGCTGAAAGGGCATCATTTTGGACTTGAAATGGGCTACTTCCTTATGACAGTGACGCTATAAAGCACGGATTAGTTGTTGTATCATGAGTCAAAGGATGAATACGCACCCTGTATTTCATGTTTCACGAAAGTGCTCAAGGAGATCGGGTGTCTAAAACCTGGTTGCTGTCTCACCGCGACCCGCACCTCACATATATATAGATACACACAATGTGTGTCCTAATTGCTGTCTCATCGTAACCCGCACCTTATGTAGGTACGCTGTCCTGGTTGATGTCTCATCGTCACCCGTGCCTCATGTAGGTTCAGTGTCTTGGTTGATGTCTCATCATAACCCACACCTTATGTAGGTACAGTGTCTTGGTTGATGTCTCATCGTAACCCACACCTTATGTAGGTACAGTGTCCTGGTTGATGTCTCATCGTAACCAACACCTTATGTAGGTACAGTGTCTTGGTTGATGTCTCATCGTCACCTGTGCCTCATGTAGGTACAGCGTCTTCATTGATGTCTCATCGTAACCCACACCTTATGTAGGTACAGTGTCCTGGTTGATGTCTCATCGTAACCAGCATCTTATGTAGGTACAGTGTCTTGGTTGATGTCTCATCGTAACCCGTGCCTTATGTAGGTACAGTGTCGATGACGACATCAACCAAGACACTGTACCTACATAAGGTGCAGGTGACGATGAGACATCAACCAATACACTAACACCTACATAAGGTGTGGGGCTGGCAATGAGACATCAACCTACACTGTACCTACATAAGGTTACGGGTTATGATGAGACTTCAACCCGGACACTGTATACCACATGAGGCACAGATGACGATGAGACATCAACCAAGACACTGTACCTACATAAGGTGCAGGTGACGATGAGACATCAACCAATACACTGTACCTACATAAGGTGTGGGTTACGATGGGACATCAATCAATACACTGTACCTACATAAGGTGTGGGTTACGATGAGACATCAACCAGGACACTGTACCTACATAAAGTGCAGGTGACGATGAGACATCAACCAGGACACTGTACCTACATAAGGTGTGGGTTACGATGAGACATCAACCAGGACACTGTACCTACATAAGGTGCGGTTTACGATGAGACAGCAACCAGAGCTCACATGGTATCATCTTCCTGTTTCAATATAGTAGTTCAAAAGCAATTTCTCTCATTGTTGTTTGCTAATTTGGGTTAATTTTGCTTCCCTATTCCTTTTCAAATTATGAAATTGCTTTGGACATAGAAACAACCTCCCTTTGTCCACTTGGCAACGATAACGAATTATGTCCTTTTCAGAAAGAATACAAAAAACACACACAAGATGGACCAACATTGCAGCAACACATATTCCCCGGCAAACGAATTTGCAAAAACATATTTTCCCACTAATGTTTACTAAGCATAAACATATGGAAAAGAATATGAACAATACTGGTTTCAATACATGTTTGTTAAGTCCCTGTTGTACATTCTACCATGTGATTACCTCCCTTTTGTACTGATTTTGATAAACCAGGAAAGGAACTTGTGGCCCCGTCGACGCAGTCTATGCCGTCAGCTCGCTGTGTGGAGTTATGTCAATTGATGTAGTAGAGGTTTATGATTCTGGGTTCGAATCCCACATTCGCTGTGTGGAGTTATGTCAATTAATGTAGTAGAAGTTTATTATTCTGGGTTCGAATCCCACATTCGCTGTGTGGAGTTATGTCAATTGATGTAGTAGAAGTTTATGATTCTGGGTTCGAATCCCACATTCGCTGTGTGGAGTTATGTTCATTGATGAAGTAGAAGATTATGATTCTGGGTTCGAATCCCACATTCGCACTGATTATGAGTTTATTTGTCAGTGACATATCCGAGCTGAAGGGTTTCACCAAATTAGTGTAAGTGTGAAACCAGGACTACGTCGGGCTTTCCTTTAACATTTAACCCACACGAGGTGATATTCCATAAATACAACATAAACCTGACTCACTCAGTCTAATTCACAGCGGATGTAACATATAAATAAATTTATTATGGAAACGGTATTTATTTGGAGATTTTGCTCTAACATGCTCATCTTAAGAACCAAATGTTAATTACAGAAGCAAGTTAGGTCTTACATTTGTTTCAGTTGCATTACGAGGCCGACCGACACAAACACAGAAAAAATTACTTTTAACTGAAAACAAAACAGAACATTTGGGCGATTCTTAATTACATTTAGTAGGAATAATAGATACAGACGCACAATTTTTCGTCACTGTTGACGAATGACGAATGTTACGTAAGACTACTTTTTTTATTTACAAAAAACACCCCCCCCTTTTACCTCCTACAAATCAATGAACAAGTAAATATGAAACTCAGTATCCAAATAACCATCACTAAATCTTGAACAATTTGTCCAAAATGAACATTCTTCCAAACACTAGCTATCAAACATTGGCAACATCTTCAAAATTCGACTAATGATTTCCAAGTAGAATTACATCAAATCTCGGTTATTTATTCGTCAGAGTAATATAAAAAATAAACAGAGAATTATGTCATTTATTCTGTTTCAGAACTGAATGATGCACGAATAAATAATTGACAGGAATAATTATCAATAATCTATCACTTGATTAGATTATAATGATGTCATTACCTTTTCATGTTTACTAAAGCACACAGGATATTTAAAGGACACCAGATATCTGGTTGTCATTTCCAGCAAATTAATTCAAATGAGTTATTTGAACAGTTGAGGTATTTCACTAAAATGTAAATCGCTGTTTGGCTCCGCAGAAACATGCATATGCACAGTGGAAATCTTGAAGCAAGTACCGTTGGGCAGGGGGTTCATTGGTGGTGTGGGGGTGCCTCTTACATGACTCTAAACTTGACCTCGTGACGTTAAGTCAGAATGGACAACGGTACTGATATCCTGGGTTGTTGCAATACAGTCTTAATGGACGATATGCTAGGCCACATTGTGCAAATGACATTGGTTAGTTCGTACGTCAAATGGCTTTAGCACCTCTACCTTGGCCCACCAGGAGAACAGATCTCAGGTTTGTTAATAGTGCGAATCCCTCGGTCTGTAAATCTCACTGAATATGTCTTTTGTTAATGAAACCGAATCCCTCGGTCTGTGAATCTCGGTGAATATGTCTGTTGTTAATGAAACCGAATCCCTCGGTCTGTGAATCTCGCTGAATATGTCTGTTGTTAATATTCCTGAATTCCTCAGTCTGTGAATCTCGCTGAATATGTCTGTTGTTAATATTCCTGAATTCCTCGGTCTGTGAATCTCGCTAAATATGTCTGTTGTTAATATTACTGAATTCCTCGGTCTGTAAATCTCGCTGAATATGTCTGTTGTTAATGAAACCGAATCCTTCGGTCTGTGAATCTCGCTGACACCAATTGGAATATCGTTACATATAAGATATATTGATTAATTGTGAGATTTCAAAGTTTAAAAGCAATATGTGAGAAACGCAATACCATTTTCGTACTACAAGATTGTTAATTCCGTACTAAAAGTAGAACCGGTATTATTTGAATATTATCATGAGCGTCGTTTCCATAAATAGGACGACCAGATCAAGTCAAACATCAATCTAGATCGGCTGGGAATCAGGAGAGGAAACTGGAGGATGTTACTGTACTTTCAGAACGATGTCCATTCATCGGTTTCTGTCTTTGCTTCAAAACTGTTTTCCTAGAAATAGAAATTACATTCATACACTGCAAGTCATCACAGAAGCATTACACAGTCAGTCGTGTCAAGGTGATATGAGTTAAACTGCAAGTCATCACAGAAGCATTACACAGTCAGTCGTGTCAAGATGATGTGAGTTAAACTGCAAGTCATCACAGAAGCATTACAAAGTCAGACGTGTCAAGATGATGTGAGTTATACTGCAAGTCATCACAGAAGCATTACAAAGTCAGTCGTGTCAAGATGATGTGATGTTAAACTGCAAGTCATCACAGAAGCATTACACAGTCAGTCGTGTCAAGGTGATGTGAGTTAAACTGCAAGTCATCACAGAAGCATTACAAAGTCAGTCGTGTCAAGATGATGTGAGTTAAACTGCAAGTCATCACAGAAGCATTACAAAGTCAGTCGTGTCAAGGTGATGTACGAATGCTACGAGAAAGGTTACGAGATCTTAGGCTTACGAGAGCTTTGTGAAACGGGGCCCAGTTCTCCGTGTTTCCACTCTTCATGAGAACTGAATACGAGATCTTGGATTGTCAAAACAAGCCTTGATAAAACACTGGCTGAACCTGTTTTTACACTTAGTCTAGTTGTTTTCAATGCTAGGCAGTTTTCAGAGATGCATATAACTTGAATAAAGTGATCTGTAAAGGTTTTTGACCTACTTGTACACTTCACGCGTAACAAGAAGTTGACTGAGAAAAGCAGTTTAATGATTGAGTGTTTTCTGATTCCTCAGATTGATACAAAAACAGCTGATTCGTTGAAACCAGTCTTTAATCTGATGATGGGTAATAGACAGAATAACACACTAGGCACGAATGCATGCGGAAACTATGTCACACTGGGACTTGTTTTAATTCCTCGATAATGATCGAAACTGAAAATATTTATTTCATCGTTATAATATTTTCCTGAATCACTCGTGCCTTGTGAGTTATTAAGTGCATATCACCCGCCTTACCAGACATCTTCATCACACATGTAATGACACTCGGGCACCGGCATTCCGTTGAACCGTGACTGGAGACTGATAGAGTAGGCGCCCAGGTTCTCAAAGTAGAACCAGTCGCCGATCTGGAGTTCGGGAAGAGGGACTTCCTTCAGGACACAGTCAATGCTGTCATCACGTCGGACCCACAAGCTGGATGTGAAGGTCACATCACTAGTGGGTTCCTGAAGCAATGATATCTCTGTAAGAGTCTTTAAATTGCTGAACTCAACGATCAGTTGGTTCAAACGCAGATTTCAGGGTGGACTAAGTCTGAATATATAGAATTTTGATAAAACTTAAATGGTCCATTTAAACTGAAAAGGGGCAGCAATGAACTCGGAAATTCAGAAATCAGGAAATACAGACTTGATTCATTTAAGGTTTTGCATTACGAAAAGATCTGGGCGGAAGAAAAATATGCTTCAGGATAACGTTGAGAGCTTCTCAACAGAATTCACGTTATTGTATTACGTGTCAGAATACTGGAAAGGCCAAACCGGAAGATGTTACCCAATGATGAGAAATCCATGAACACAGTATCCCCTCTCGGTATATATAGGTCTCGCACTTCGGTTAACATCCGCCCTAACTCTGGATTCCTTGGCGTAGTCCCGTGGTCTCAAAATTACCTGCCCTTACTTTTCATTAGCAAATTATATTTGCTACGCTACAAACACACCTCCATGCTGGGTCGACGATGTCAGCAACATGGCGGCCACTTCCATTACAACACAGTTTGCGAAACACGAAACGAAAAACTGACTGAGACGCAAAAGAATGTGTTTTTGTTATTGAAAGGATGTCTCCCTGTTAATTAATACTAATGGTGGCTTTGCTTTCTTGACAATGTGAGTTATCCCCCTTACCGAATCTTATTCCTTACCTCGATGTTTGATTGGCTCGTAAATGTCAAGGGCGGATAATTTGAAATCGCGCGAACCACGACATTGGATCAAGCGGTTCGTGTAGGTTTACCGAAATGCCAGCACTTGTGATACAGAGGATGAGAACAGGTCTGAAACTTCAGTGAACCTACGATCAGTGGAATCTGGGGTGCATGTGTTCAAATCAAATTTGGCTCCTTACGTCACTCGCTACCGGTTTCTGCCACAAAATACCAATGAACTCCAATAAGCAAACTTGAAGCGATTTGAAAATGTAGAAATCACTCAATAAAATAATTTATCGTTTCCCCGCCAAAAACACTTCGCTTGCATAGGTCTGTTTGTTTTGAATTAACTTATAATAAAATCTTTCTTTGAAGCAAAAGGTAAGGCATAGACTGCTGAATAAATAATGTAAATGTAGTATTTGAATATATCCTAGTTTGTAAAAAGGCTTTTATGGCTTGGGTCATCAAACTACCTTTTTGGGTTTTTATCATTGGTTTCACTTTATACTTCAAAGTTATGCAATGGGTTTAGTTATAATTGTATTGGTTCTGTACATAAAGAGTTCACCTTGACTAATCGTGGTATGAAGCGAGTGTCTTCAAAGTGAACGATACCGAACGATCCATATGTACCATCGTTCATATAATACATGTAAGTTGGTTTCTCGCTGCCGAGCCTCTCCGGGTCCAATGTCGTCACTGTGAATACAATACATCTAAGCCATTCCTGTAAACATACCGATCTTGTTATTATTTCTTTGTCATTACTTTGATTTCAATAAAGGAAAGGTCTTAATGATAACCAAACACATCCTTAATCCGATTAAAGAGAAATCGACTGGGGTAAACATTAAGAAAGTACACCTCAGTGGGTTTTTTTTCAAACGTAAATATTTTACCTTCATTACAGGTCGCTTGTCGATGCTGCACGTGTAAACTGAGGTCGTGCAAAGCGTGGGAAGCATGATATCCATGAATAACAGAATGAACGTTTTCGGTCAATACCTTGATGGTCAATAATGTACTTGTGTGAGTTTATATTTCGCGAATTGATTATGCTTTCTTAATACAAATTGTTTATTCTTTATTTATCATTTTCTTACGATGGCCAATTTGTGTACTACAAATAAACTGACTTATGTGTCCTGGTTCCGTTCACCTCTGCTCTACAGAGGACATACATATATAATATGTACGTGCAGATCGACCTGGAGGAGACTCTGCTTAAGCATAGGTTCTAAGAGTTTATGCTGGTCGTAAGAGCTGAGGTTGACGGAGGAGTGATGCTCGTGTTATGCTCCAATTGTACTTGAATCATTATTTTTACCGTTATACTACGTGGCATTGCTGAAAACGGTCGCTGAAAACATTTGCTCACGTTCATGTGGATCTGTTTTCTCTGTGGGGGTCGTGCACTTCCTCTTTGCAATCACACTTGTTACTAAAGTGAAGGGTGATGTTGCAAAGTACCGTCCCGGCTCTGCTATGACCTTGACATTGGAGCTCAAGGGAAATACCTCATCCAGAGATGTATTCAACACGGCGGCAACCTAGAAATATAGCACATACTGCAAGGCATATCACCGACACTCATTTGCTGAGGTAACCGTGTGTTTTGTTTTGATGCGTGTGCGCGTGTCTATCGCTCTTTTTGTATTTGGGAAATAACGTACGTGGCAACTGTAACAGTTCACCTATCACCTCCATTCACTTCCTACGCCTCACAAACTGCTGATTCCACCTAAATTCTTTCGCCCTCTGCACAAGAAGAGGCAGTATACTTTACCTTTTCAAAGCATATTGGTGCTCCTTCGTGTCCATAGAAGCCCCCGCCAAGGTCCAGGGTGTTAAGAGTGAATTCCATTTTCGCTGCAATCTCAAACACAAGATGTGTTCTCCGTAGAGACTCGACGAACACTTCCGGGTCCTCTACTCCGCTACCCACGTGGAAACTGGTGGTAAGGACACATAGGACACAAGTATACACAATGCCTTGTTTTCACTATCACAGGTACAGAATACTGGAAACGACAATGCACGGGAATTGTGAAAGGTATCTACCAGGCTCATGATCAGCATAATCATGTTTAGAGGAAAAACATCGACCCACGTCCTTCATTAGGGACATTACAAACACAAGCGGCGTCAAAGACCACACATTTGCAACGTGCTCTTTCAAAAGAGAATATCTAATATAAAGAGCGAGGGCATTTTGAACCAAGATAAATGGTGTATGACCGACCCCAGTAAACCTTCGTAGTGCACATTAAATCGCACATGATGCTTGTTTTGCCCACCTGATGATCGCAGTGGCGCCCCTACCGGCGTGACTCATCCAGCTTACTGTCTACTACTGATACTTAGTGTGACTCCCACAAAATTATTTCAACAACATCTGTGGATCGTCAAGGCGATGATGATATTGCAAACTGGATCATTATAATACATTCTGAAACCGCAAAGTTTCGACATGTAGGTGAACTGGACTGGAGCGGGAGAAACCTAATGAATCAGGCTTACGACGGAAGTCCGTCATCATCTGAACGTAGGTCATTACCATGATATAGGTGAGTGCGTGATATAGGTTTAATCCCGCTTTTAACAATATTCCAGCAATATCACAGTGGTAGGTAAAAGAAAAGGGCTTCACACATTGTACCCAAGTGGGCAGTAGAACCCGGGTGTTTGGTGTGACGAGTGAACGCTTTAACCAGTTTCTAATATGTCCGTCAGTGCTAAAGCTCTGTACGAATGTATGACACAGTCAGAACACCATAATGGCGTAGGACGGTCATCCGAATGTAAATGTAAAGGCTGGATATTTTGTCCTAGTCTTTTGCACAAGTAACCCAAAATCCTGCCCTTTACCAGCTATCTGATAGGGTTCTGGGGCTCAAGGCACTGGTGCCATGGTCTCCACAGCAACAGTCTTTTAGCCAATCCCCAGGGGCTATGTTGTCACATGACAGGGGCAAGAGGGAGCGTGGGACCCCCAAGCCTGAAATCTTCCTCTTTCTGCCTGCACTGTCGAGGTGACAACAAGCCAGCTTGTTTTTTAGGTAAGAACCTCAGTTTGCTTCCATATTGCAACTAGGTCTTCTGTACTAAATTCCAATGCATAGTTATGTTGTTAGCTGGATAAGTAATTATCTGCGGCTTTTAAATTAATGCATTATTTAATTTGATAAATCACAATTAAAACAATTGTTGGGTCACTGTCATCAATTATTCTTGCTGTGCCAAACTGGCGAAAGGTCACTCATCTGTGACTGTCCAAACGTGCACTCGATGGCAAGAATAAATGACATGTTCTCATTGTAATATATTTTCATCTAAAAATTCATTTTAGTAAGGTACTTTGTGTGTTTAGCATTAATATAAGAGATCAGCGTGGCTTTCGTGGAGACAAATTGGTACAGATCAGAGCAGTCAACTGACATATGGTTACAATAGCAGTCGTCATCATCAATGTCTTATTGTGATCTTTCAGGATCTATCTGTTGTAACCCACAGACATCTGATATAATTCATAAGGCAATTGTTACAACAGAAGTTCATCAGTGATGTTGTACAGCACTGTCCAAAAAAAAAATACAACAAAATCAAATGATGTGTACCCTTTCAGAAAGAAGACAAAAGAAGAAATTCGGGCAACATCTCAACGTTGGTACAGATCAGAGCAGCTCGATGGTAGTTCACCGAATACCCCTTTATCCACCACCATGCACATGCAATGTTAAAAACAATTCATGTACCGAAGCATCGCGCGTCAATCAAATAGTCCCGGAAGGGTTTCTGCTTGACATGCTTGCTACCTTAAGCTAGTGGATACGTGGACTTGATCTTGTAGAGTTCAGCCTCGTTGTCAAAGGTCATCAAATCTATATTATTCTTTGCCGCATACTCAAGGTGGGAGATCTGCTTGCATGGATTGGCATACACAACTCCTGAAAGCCGGGGACACGCCCATCTGTAATACGGTCCCTATCTCGCCCTGCAAATATTGAAATCTTAGGAAAGGAGGAGGTAGGATAAGCAGTATAACGTCACTGGATAGGTGTTTTGTAAAGATTTAAGGCTTTAAAATATTTTGATAATTATGATAAATAGGTTCGAAATATCTGACACATTTTCTTACTGCCTTTGCAGGTTTCTTATTTATGGCACTGATCAAATGCAATCCACAACATGCAAATGGGTACCCGGTAGGATGAAATGACGGCCGTCTGTAATCAGACAATCCAGTGATTGACATCATGAGCATCAGCCTATGCAAATGGGACGCGACATGCATCAACCAAGTCAGCGAGCCGACAACCAATCCGTTAGTCGCCTCTAACGACAAGCAGGGATTGTTGAAGACCAATTTAACCCGGATCTCCATTGCCACGGCACTGGCGGTATGGCAACATGCTAAGTGTGGTCTAACTAAATACAACTACAGAATTCAACAGTCCTCACTATATTCAGTGAACATTTCCTTCACAAATATACGTCGAACATATGCTAATTATAGCAAGACCTCGTGCATCTCTGCGAACCAAATTAAGTTCAATGGCAACACAGATGCTTTAACCATTAGAACAAGATTGTACCTTGCTTTGCACAGTCGAAGCCGGCTCCAAGTTGGGAAAGAACTCGTAGCAATATTGGGATCAGCATTGCACTTGACAGCTACAGTCATGGAATAACGTGTAAAGATAAGGATACGGTCAGTAAGTTTTCACAACTACAATTACAAAGCACGACTGATGATAAACAGTACGCCTTTTTAGTTAATTGTTAACTAAGAATTCAAGTATTTCACATATTCTTCAAATAAAGTTCAGATGACATTTGCTTTCATTTTCAACAAATTGTCCTGACCCTTTGAAGGCAAATGTGTGACTATAATTACTATTATTACATTGACGACGCTTATTAACAAATACCCAGTGAAAGCAGGAATGAAGTTTCCTTTAAAATTGTATCAAATGCGCAATATAAAGTCCCTCCAAAATAGTGATAAGTATTATCATTAAGACAGTGATTTTGTGGTACATTTACTGGACTCTACTAATATCTCTCTCAGCAGTGACCATATAATAGATTATGGTATATATAATAGATTATATGGTCTCTGCTCTCAGTCATGCTCTCTAAATGGATATACCTAGAAGTAATCACATACCGTAGAACGGCGTCACCCTTGGCAGCAGTCTCCTCCAACGCCGGTAATTGTTTACAACGTCACCGAGATCGACAAGGAAGAGCAGATCATCACGGCCCTGCAACATGTGGAACATGTTTACAACAGGCCTTTACTTTAATACACAGTGGGAATATTGCTAAAAGCGGCGTAAAACCAAACTCACTCACTTACTCAGTACACAGTGAGGGGTTCTTCTTAAGTCTTTGACCTCGATCATGTCACACAGTGTAACCCACCCACTCCGGTCCGAGACTGCTGTGATGTAGGACCTCAATGGCCGTCTAATGTAAGGTCGCATTACACAGTAGCAGTCGTAGTATTAATAGATTGTTAGATGACTGTGATCTTTGAAGTTATAGGCAAGTACAAAATGGATAACATATCTTTGAATACTGACAAATAGATAAGGTATTGAAAAATATATTTTACTAATCGCAGATCTCACAAATCTATCAGTACAGGTAACACGTGGAAAAAGATACACGAGGCAATATATTAAAATATTATTGTACAGGGTAGGATCATTTGATAAACTTAAATGACAAACACACACACACACACCCCCACACACTCTAGATCCGCCTACGTTGTAAATATTTACAGATGGGTGTTACTAATGTTAGGCAAATATTATTAGGTAATATTTCCTGTTTGTCCACATCATCATTATGTACGGTACATTCAAAGGTAAAAATACCATTTGAATATTGTTGTGAAGTCAGAGCACTCGATTTCATAAACATGTCCTCCAAAACATTCACGACCACTAGATGTCATTGCAGCAGAGTAGTATTATGTATCTGTATATGTTATTTACACTCTTACCTTTTGATCCGCAGACTTTGCCATCTCGGTAATTATGTCGGACTTCGAGCGACAAGAATGTACTATACGATCTGGTGTCCATCCATTTGGAACAGGCAATATGTGACAAAACGGTTCTGAAATACCACAGCTATTTAGTACATAACCCTCATGTAAGGAAGACATCAGCAGTCGGGAGTCAAGAATACGCTCACGAATCACAGTAAACAAGAAATGGGGCCAAGAATACGCCTCACGAATCACAGTAAACAAGAAATGGGAGTCAAGAATACGCTGACGAATCACAGTAAACAACAAGAAATGGGAGTCAAGAATACGCTGACGAATCACAGTAAACAAGAAATGGAGTCAAGAATACGCTGACGAATCAAAGTAAACAAGAAATGGGAGTCAAGAATACGCTCACGAATCACAGTAAACAAGAAATGGGGGGCCAAGAATACGCTCACGAATCACAGTAAACAAAGAAATGGAGTCAAGAATTACGCTCACGAATCACAGTAACAAGAAAAGCCTTTAAAAGGCAACGATGGAGGAGGCACCCTGAGTAAATTAAGAAATTTAGTGAGATGGACGCGAGATGATTTGGGGTGAAGCTGATATCAAGGAGATGACCATACCTCCGTCTATTAGAGACTTGGTTCTCATTAGAGTTCGGCACTCGCATCGCAAATACGGTACTCTCATCTCCAGTATATGACATTTCATATCAAAGGTGCTTGTCATGTCTAACCATGTCTGAAATGACGGACGTAGAAAGCATGGTCCCACATATTGCTTCTATGTTAAGGCGGATAGTAACGAGTCATCAAAAGATGAAATATTCCCCGAACCATAGGCGGATCTATCAGTACAGGTAACACGTGGAAAGTAGATACACGAGGCAATATATTAAATATATTATTGTACAGAGTAGGATCATTTGATAAAACTTAAGGACAAAACACACACACACACACACACACACACACACACACACACACACACACACACACACACACACACACACACACACACACACACACACACACACACACACACACACACAGAGATCCTCCTACGTTGTAGGGGCGCGCACCCCCCCTTTTTGTCCTGAAAGTTCATCAAATGACAATTGAACCTTTCGTGAAAAATGAAGTGTGCAACCCACCCCTTTCTCAAAAGCTGTATCCGGCCCTGCCCGAACCCCGCATGTTTGCGAAAAGTCATATGAATCCTACCCGTTCAAAGAAATTCAGTCATCTCAGCACTCGCGGTAATTGTTACTCAACCCGCCTCTCGAACCAATTCTAGGAAACCAGACGGCCCAGACGCTAAATTCCAGAAAAAGCTAATGGTGCTACTAAAATGGAATGGATTTTCCGATTCTGCAATTCGAAATTTTGCACTGACTTAGTACAAGTGTGCTCTATTACATGTAAAAGTGCTTTGAATTGAAAGTGGATCAGTTTATTAACGTTTTTGATCAGTATAAACACAGAATGTGTTTAAATGGGAGATGCTGGAAACTGGACTGGCCCAAAATGAAGTGGTCTGACATTTTGGTGACCATCGAAACACGATCTCATCTGTATAGAGACGTTTTCAACATTTTGGAAACGCGAGATTTTGCCTCGACCCGCGGTCCACGCGTGACGTCACATCAGCAACCACATTCGGCTGACCCATCTAAGGAATTGATTCCAGACTGCAAGTTGCTCGGACCATTCCTGGCTTACGTCCAAACAGTTCCAGTACCGTACGGAGCACAACATCCGGCCCCGGTGGTTTGCGTAATACGTCCAATTTGCTCCAACGTCACCGATAGGCACGTCTTGCCTGTGCAGACAGCATCTACGGCAAAGGAGACAAGATTGGGATGGTGTTTTGCTCGCTGACGAGTCGAGATTTCATCTCAACAGCTCAGACGGCTGGGCAACGGTGTAGAGACGGCGAGATGAGCGCTATGCTGACGCGTGCGTTGTTCAACGTCGACAGTTTGGTGGCGATATGGTATGGGGAAACATGAAATCTCATGGTCGAACACAACTGAGATCCCGGGTTAGAATTGGTCTTCAGTAACCTATGATTGTCGTAAGAGGCGTCTAACGGCGTCATCGTATCCCAGCTGCGTAGATCGAGGCTTTATGCTGTTGATCACATGATTGTCTGGACTCGATTATTTACAGACCGCCGTCATATAGTAGGAATATTGTTGAGTGGCGTAAAACTAAACTCACTCACTCACTAAAGGCCCTATGGCAATCTGACAGGTCTGCGATACTGGGGTGAGATCATTGGACCTCATGTGCACCCGTTCATTCCAGGACAGAAAACGTAACTTCACGCTTCAGATAATGCCCGTTCACATGTCGCTCGTGCTGTGACAGATTTCCTGAGACAGCAGGACCTGTTCCTTATCGAACACGCTTGGGGTGAAATGGAGAGACGTGTACGTCAAGCCCACAATCAGGAGTGATTATTTTAGCTTCGTATTTTTAGTTTCGTATCACTGGGCTGTGCTTATAACTACTGTTAATTGGGACAAGCGTTGGTTTAGACATGTATCAGAATGTTCCCCAAGCTTTCTTCAATCGCTTAGTGTCGTCTATATGTCGTCGTTGTCTATGCGTCGTTGTCAAGCCTGCATCAACGTCAATGGTGGACACACACGATACTGAATTTGTAAACTGACGTTTGACACCACATCTCTTCAAAGGTGTGTCACGATGTCTAGTGTCAAATCATGCAGTATTCGTTATTATCCTGTCAACAGTTAAACAGTGATTAAGGAGAACCCTCTTATTATGTTATTAACCCTTTTTACATTAAAAATGGCATAGCATCAAATAATGTACAGTTACTTTATTCCTGTAGTATATTATCACTAAAGCTTTCCATATGGGAATAGCATCCCATTCACAGTTAATCGGTATTTGCCGAGACTTTTCCAGGTCAGTCAAGATTAAGGTAAATATTCTCGGAATGTTGGTTTTTGTAACCACTAATCTGTTTTGATTTGGTGGAACATTGATGTCATTGTATCAATGTGCGTTCAATGTATGTACGTTCGATATGATTTGTTAATCGTTTTGACGTTCAGAGCTTGTCTGCTTTACGCATTTGTCTGAGAGTAGCTGGTTGCCCCAGAAACCATTGGTCAACGATGTTAAACAGTTCGTCATGGGTTGCCTAACATGGTTAGGGGCGTAGTATGATAATTAAAGACTGTGACAGCCAACCAAGTGTTAACTATTAATACCGGTTTTGCTACACTATTAACTCCGCTACACTCTTAACAGTGCCCCTTAAAAGGTTTGTCTATATCATCTCCAATTAAAGGAATCCAGACTTGCTTGACTCCTGAGAATTTCCCCACAACGAAGTACATGTGATACATGTGGTCTCACCTTAGGCAGGTGAGTTTGTTCAGCATTGACTTTGTCCACCCAGCAGTAAACTTGACATTGGTGGACGCTTGTAGTGCAGGGAATTTGAACCTTGACTATGGCGGATCCTGGCAGAAGGTGCACTAGTCTTTACTCCATAAAATCACTTGTATATGAACGGATGTTACCATTGACCACTCTATATATGAACGGATGCTATTTGTGACATCAGTATATAAAAAGATGGGGCATCAATAGTGCTCTGACTAGTCTTTACTCATATAAAATCACAGTGTATATGAACGGATGTTATTTGACCACTGTGTATATGAACGGATGCTATATGACCACAGTATATATGAACGGATGCTATATGACCACAGTATATATGAACGGATGCTATATGACCACAGTATATATGAACGGATGCTATATGACCACAGTATATATGAACGGATGCTATATGACCACAGTGTATATGAACGGATGCTCTATGACCACAGTGTATATGAACGGATGCTATATGACCACAGTATATATGAACGGATGCTATATTACCACAGTGTATATGAATGTATGTATGAACGGATGCTATATGACCACAGTATATATGAACGGATGCTCTATGACCACAGTATAAATGAACGGATGCTATATGACCACAGTATATATGAACGGATGCTCTATGACCACAGTGTATATGAACGGATGCTCTATGACCACAGTGTATATGAACGGATGCTATATGACCACAGTGTATATGAACGTATATATGAACGGATGCTATATGACCACAGTGTATATGAACGGATGCTCTATGACCACAGTATAAACGTATGTATGAACGGATGCTATATGACCACAGTATATATGAACGGATGCTATATGACCACAGTGTATATGAACGGATGCTATATGACCACAGTGATATGAACGACTGCTATATGATAAAGGTCGGACAGTATATATGAACGGATGCTATATGACCACAGTGTATATGAACGGATGCTATATATGACCACAGTATATATGAACGGATGCTATATGACCACAGTATATATGAACGGATGCTATATGACCACAGTGTATATGAACGTGCTATATGAACAGTATATGCATGAACGGATGCTCCATGGCCACAGTATATATGAACGGATGCTATATGACCACAGTATATATGAACGGATGCTCTATGACCACAGTGTATATGAACGTATATATGAACGGATGCTCCATGGTCACAGTGTATATGAACGGATGCTCTATGACCACAGTGTATATGAACGGATGCTATATGACCACAGTATATATGAACGGATGCTACTATGACCACAGTGTATATGAACGGATGCTATATGACCACAGTATATATGAACGGATGCTCTATGACCACAGTATATGAACGGATGCTATATGACCACAGTATATATGAACGGATGCTATATGACCACAGTGTATATGATGACCGGTATATGCGGATGATATGAACGGATGCTATATGACCACAGTGTATATGAACGGATGCCTATATGACCACAGTGTATATATGAACGGATGCTCTATGGCCACAGTGTATATGAACGGATGCTCTATTACCACAGTGTATATGAACGGATGCTATATGACCAACAGTGTATATGAACAGTATATATGAAC